TAGCACATCTCGGCTATTGTACCCTGACTACTTCTTATTATGACTGAATGGTACATCCAGTGTTTGCTATGGGCTTCAGTTGATGTTACATGTCAAAGCCGGTGTGTGTTGCAATACCAAAAAATCCCAAATACATAGAATGATAATATGTACAGAATTAAGAGCACTAACTGCGATTTGTTCTTCCAAAGTGAAACATTGCTTCTTTTTTTTCAAATTTCAAAATTTTCCAAGCCTCAGATCTAACAAATCGTGTACCAGTGGTTTGTAGAAAGTAATCGTGACACAGACATAAATGTGATTTCCAAACTATCTATACTGTAATGCCAATATCAATGAATGTCCACCCAGAGTCATAGTGTTGATATCCCAGCAACAATAAAAAGATAAGAAAAGTCTGAATCATTGTGTTTTTCTGTTTTTATTTTTAACACCAAATGTGGCTTTTCTAAAATAAAGCAAAAATACTGTTATTTGATTATTGAACTTATGCTAAGAGTCTTACTTTATCTTACATGTTTAGCCTTGTTATTGTGGCTCCTCTCTGTTATCCACCAGTGTTTTTGTTCCTATGACATCCAAAAACACTCAGGGTCACTGACTGATAATGTATGCTTCAGGACTAGCAGATTTTTATGCTAGACCTAATAATGCATAGACCTTGAGACTTCACACATTTTAAACAACCTTGACTGTTATTAGATGACTTGACTGTTTGCTGTGTGTTCGTGCATTTGTTTAGAAGTGACAAAAAGCTTAGTAAAAATGTCTATGTCTATGTTTAGGTGTTATGTCTGGACTCTGATACAGTTGCCTGAGAACATTACAGTAGTTTACATTGAATTGAAACATTTGACTCCAAATTCAGTTTCAACATTGCTCCCTGTCTGCTGAATGTCACAAGTTGTCATTTTCTTACTTGATATGAGTATCCATGAGAACACACTAGAGAAACGAGAGTACAGGAAGAAGAGAGGAGAGAGGACCGCTGTGGTGGACAACAAATGATAACCCTCATCCCTAAAGTATTTTGATTTAGTTAATGTCTGCGTCTGTTTACCTAAATGAACTGAAACCAACACCACAACATGTTCTCAGTCCCAACTTCTCAAATACTGACGTACCACATGAAGTAACTTAAGTAATTACTTACGCAATGTACCTGACATAACTTAAGTATGTTAACTTACACTGTTTAATTGTTGACTTTTGGTTTTACATCGGACACAAACAGTGGCCTGTTGAGTCCTGTGTTTGTTTGACACATCCATCCAACCCACCACCTCCATATGCGGATTTTCTCGCTCTTTATTTATTACTGCGTCATCTGACTTCAGTGGCAGGCGTGTCCAGAAATGATACTAAAACTGTACCTACAGCATCCTATTTTAAAGCAGATGGCCTCTGACCAAGTGGTAGTAATTGATTACTTGGGACTAAGACCGGGTTGAACGCCGAGCTCAGTGCATGATTGACAACCCAGGAAGCACAGTTGAGTGTGAGACACTCAGGGAACAAGTGGAGCAGTGGCAGAGCCCACCTGGGTTTCAGGTAAGGCCTGCATTATTTTCTTGTTCACTGGCAACCAAGGCTTTTAGCATATGTGATGGCCTGGTAGTAGATGGTACAGCCATAAGTCTACAACAGTAGAGAAACATCCATCTCCCTACATTTATAATGATTTCACAATATTTTGTGAGGTTAGGCTACTTTATTATATCTTTATATAATGAACAGATGACCAGACCTACTACAGGTATGTGAGTATGTGAGATGTTTTTTGTGATAGAATATCACACTTTTCTGTCATTACAAAAAACAAACACAACAAGAAACAAAAGCTGACTCAATAATAAAACTGAAAGTCTGAAAGTATTCACTTTACATCGCAGAATGTGGACTGTGACATAAAGCAGACACTAAATGAAGTACTGCACTATACATGTGTGGGACCTTTAATGCTACCTAAGAATGGTCAGGGCCACTATGTGTTGTGTGTGACATGAATTAAGTACCGGTCCTGGCAGCAGTGGCCAAATGTTTTTATAGGAAAGAATGTTGTGTGTGTGTGTGTGTGTGTCTGCTATGTTTATTGTTCCACAGCTTTAGAGTCCTAGCCTCTGGTTGACTGATATATGTCTCCCTACTTCCTGTTGCTCCCTGAATGAGCCAATCAGAGCCAGTGAGGCCACACAGGAAGTTCCTCTGTGCTGTTGCTGAGTGAGGGGGATGTCACAGCTTCGTCACAATGTCAATATAGACACTTTCTGTGTTTCCCAGCATGGTTTGCTGACTGACAAATATGCCCCTCCGGTCAAATGTCCTACCGCATGTGCGGCAGATAAGTTGATTTGAATGGACAGAATCAGCATTCCTGTTGCCAGAAAACTCTATGATGCTTGGAAAAAGCAACGAGACATTTAAGGCTGAGCTGCTAACATGCCGAGACATCCAGGAATCACGGCACTTCTGTTGAAACATTCAGAAATTCCCACGAAACACAGCAAGCTTCCTCTGAAACATTATCAAATTTCTGTGCTGCGAAGACGTACTGAAGCAAAGGAGATTATCATGACAAAACAGGAAGTGATTTTTCATGGAAGAATAAATGTCTGGTCTTCAAACATTGAGAGCTGCTATTGCAAGTTGGCAGGAAGGTTTGAGAGTCGATTCAGACAAAGCTTTTGTTTGGGGAAGGGACACTCGGCTTTTTCACTATGAATAAGCGTTACTTCCCATTGTCTGCTGCTGGCTTTGTGATACATTTTAACTAAGACATTCCAGAAAAAGAGCAAATGGAGACAGGGAGAAGGAAGAGACTGCAGCTACAGATAAGAAAGGAAACAGTGCTGATGGAGAGGGTAGAAAAAAGACTGGAAGTGATTGGAAGGGTGATTGGAAGGGACAAACAGTGAGAGAAGATGGGAGAGGACAAACATGGAAAAACTGACAACTTGTCCATACTTCTGTCTTACACGTATTTGATGGAACGGATGCACTTCTATTTTTAATGAATCCAGCTGTCTAGTCCGGCTGTGCAACAGCTTGCATTTCATTCATGCTTAATGCTTCAAGTCTAGTCTCAAGTTTGTATGAGAGCTCTATCACACCATCGTTTATGAAGTTGAAGTTAATTCACACAGTGCTTTTGTGTAGTTTTTGGACTTTTGCAAGCTTTGACGTGTGTATGCTTGCTGATGACCAGCTGCAAACCAACTGAACATTGCTAATCTTTGAGGGAACAGAGAAACCTTGAGGGTCCAAAATGGGGGAATCTGTCGTGATCACCAAGCTGCTGCCACCACCACCCATGTGGCCAGAATGTGCACTTATTGCTATATACCACTGTGGATTTTATCATACTATTACTGTGGGCGCCAAAATCTGACATTTTCAAATGTTGCACATGGGAGTTTTAAAGGCCGATAGAGTGGCCAACACCCAATGACGGCACCCCTAACAAGAACAACTGCCACAACAAGCATGAGCAACATGGTCTATTTATTGCTTGCACACATCAGTCACTTCATTAGTTCAGAGAACTGAGTAGAATGCAATAATATTTTTGTGTTTTATAACATGCATGTGATGGAGTAAGTACCAGGACACAGCACATAGCAAACAAAAATGCAGAAGACAATGAGGAAAAGAAAGAAAATGAAAGGAAGAAATGAAACAGGAGTCACTATGGTGCAGACAGAGAAATCAGTAGGAGGTGAAAAGTGGAGGAAAAGAACACGTAGGAGTGAGGCAGTCTGAGCCACAGTTTAGATCAAGGAGAAGAGGGATGACCAGTCCAGGCCAAACTCCATGCTGCCTACTTTAAACAGTTTACAGTTTAATTGGCTCTGTAATGCAAAAAGATATTCACCGTAAAAATTACGCACATAGCACTGTATGGCAAAACTGTCCTTCTGCTTCAGCTCACCCCGCTGATCCCTCCTGTGGTGGGTCACAACACTGCAGCAGCCACATGGTAAAGTACTTGGTGCACTTTTTTTTGTGTGGGTGGGGTATAGGGGGCTGTTATGGAATATGTATTAGGGGAGGCTTGTGATTAAATAAACAGAAAGAGAGAGGCATTTAAAGCAGAGAACAGTTCAGGGTCAGAAATTCTTCTTACTTAATGACCAACATTTTCCATATTGAAATCTCCCATCACCTGCAGTGGTTCTTCATGCCTGTCTCTGCTCATGCCTCAGCCCCACTGTTTGTTTAAAAACTGGCCTTCAAATAATACATTGTGGAAGTTTTGGGGCACGTGTCATTTGCTGTGGGTATGTCTGTGGATGTGGGTTTTTTTTACTACTGTTGCACACTCTAACCATAAAGCCACACCGGAAAACAGTAGCTTAGGTGGAGCTGATGCCTCCCATTTATTTTCTATGAGGTGCAACAAATCACTCGTGCTGACACACCGGCCTCTCCATGCATCATTCCAAAACTTTGCACCAGTGAAATGATAAAATCTCAAATGATTTAAATGCACTATGCTTATTGTGTCCGCAGATGATGATTTTTAATGATTGTGAACATGTTGTAGTTGGCTGTAATGACATATTTTCCCAATGTACATAAGAAATATATAGATATCGAATAGAAAGCTTCTTAATGTTTACTGAGCATATTCAGACATGAAAACTTTCCCTGTTGGACACTCCAAGTGCCTTCTGCAGCTCCAGAATAAATGATAATTGGCAGAACATGACAGTATTAACATAACTGAGATTAATTAATTAATCTCAGTATAAAACAAGCCAAAAAGCCAGTTGTAGCTGGCTGGCAATTCCTGCTCCTAAATATGCTCTTTATTGTCAGTGACTAAATCACATTATTTACATCCAGATGTTTGTTTTCACTAGTACAGAAGGGTTTTGGTCAGGTAAGATGATTCAACACATGTTTCCTTGATACTTCCTAAATTTAAAACATCTATTACCAGGATAGGGGATGAATGTACAACATTGTGAAACAAAATACGATGTGGTATTGTCCAGATCTCAAATACAAATGTTTTTAATTATTATGTTTAATTGCAAGTGATACAAAGAAATATCATACTGAAAGGTCCAGAGTGTAGGATTTAGAGGCATCTAGCAGTGTAGTTGTTGCCTATACCCTAGCTTGACCCTCCCATTACAAGTGGGTAAGAGAAACTTTGGTGTTTGCAAAACTCAAGCCAGAGTTCAAGTGCAAAATCTTCATCATTATGTTACGTAACAAATGACAAAAACATAATGTCACACCATATTTAGGAAGAAATAAAACATCTCATTCATCTGAAAGGCGAGTCTCATTTGATATTAACCTCTTAATTAGATCAAACAAAACAAAAACTGCTTTGAGTAATCCACATGACAAAGAAGAGATGATTGTAATACTGTACTGAAATTGTGTAATAATATGACCCTAATTCAATTTAACACAGTTGAAATGAGACCAGAGCAAAGTTTGATCTGTAAGAGAGAGATCTTTGTCAGAACCAGTTAAACATCGACTCTTTCAGAATGAGGATATTTTTCAACATTGGGTACATTTTGTCCATTCTTCACTTGCTAAATAGTCTATTTAAGGTACGGGAATGAATTTAGTTAATGAATTTCTGCAAAATGATCATTTGAGAGAGTTGTAATAAATAATAAAGTGAGAGATTTATGGGCGATGACGCAAGTTGGAAAACCAATTTTTACCAATGCTGCTTTATTTTACTCATATCAAACTGTGTGTCAAACACTGTCAAAAAGTAAAATTAGCACACAAAAAAACAACAAAAATCAACAACATGATGAAAAAGAGAAAAAGTTAAACGAGAATGCCCAAAAATGGAATAGCAACTTCTATAAAAACAATCGACAGCAGTGGTTTAAAGTGATTGTGTGCCGCTGTGGAATTTGCTAGAGGTGACAATAACAAGACAGGTTTATATGTCAGAATTAGGTTTTAACTGTCATGTCCCATTCTCTTTCTATCACTAATGTTTAGTAGTCAGACCATTTGTAACAGCTTGTGCATCTGTATCTAAAATGGTTAGAGGGTATCTGCAGGGTTTGGGGCTTCAGGTAGGGGGATCAAGTTAAGGTAAGAGTCTGTTCATACATGCATTTAACATTTTTAATAAATAAAGCTGACCGTTCTGATGGATATGTGCTGGTAAATACATCAGGTCTGAAAACTCTATTTTTCCTTCAAAACAATTCCTGAACTGAAAAAAGCAAACTGAGCAAAACTAAAACATTACAGTTGCTTATGATAAAAATGTTTTTTGTATGTATTCTTTGGCTCATTTAAAGTGTGTTTTCAGGCACCAAATCACTAAATAAGTCTGATGTTTTTAATTTGTCAGAGGTTTCCCCCAATTAGCAGTCAGCCTCAGTGTCAGCATTGATGCTTAGTGTGTTCTGATGCATACGCTCCAGTATCCGATGTATACTACTGAAGCTGGGCCTATCTGATGGGTGTGTGCTCCAACAAAGCCTCATCAGATTATACAGCTCCAGAGGACAGTTCTCGGGACAGGAGAGGATGTGGCCATCCCTCACATAGTAAATAACCTCCTCATGACCCATACCGTAGTACGGCTGCATCCCATGGGAGAAAATCTCCCACAGCACTACGCCATAGGCCCACACGTCAGATTCAGTGGTGTAGCGGTTATAGAAAATAGACTCAGGGGGCATCCAGCGAATGGGTATGGCATCATTCTCATTGGCTTTGTAGTAATCAGCTGAGTAGATGTTTCTGGAGAGGCCGAAATCGGCAATCTTCACAACCATTTCCTCCCCGACCAGGCAGTTCCGGGTTGCAAGGTCACGATGGACGAACTTGCGCTCTGAGAGGTAGGCCATTCCTGCAGCGATCTGCTTGGAAATTGACAACTGCTCAGCACAGGAGAGAAGTCCCGCCTCCAGCTCAGAGGAAAAACTGCGACCCGACAGGCTGGCGCGGCTGAGGGTGCGCACCGATTGGGTTGGAGAACGGCGACGCAGGAACTCATTGAGGTCACCGTGGGCCATGTACTCGAACATCAGACACATGGGTTTACCCACTGCACACACACCTGGGGAAGAAAGCATACAGGCGATTTTATTTCATAATCTATGGCATACAGAATTTACAGTAGGCTTGTGGGTTGTGCATTTTCCCACCACAGAGGTTTGAGAGTACCAACACAAATACTCAACCACATTAAACACATTGGTGACATCATTAAACCGCACTAAATCAAGTGTATTTTTCCTTCTAGTGTACATCCTTCAATGAGTTCATTCACTGTAAAAGGTAAATAATATATAAATAGTCAGCCTAGACATAAACACAGACGAAACCATCTGTGATGTGTACATGCACACAAATAAACTCTCACGCATACTGGATGTACAGTCTTACATTAGTAGCCCTGTGATGTAAACATAGTATGTTTCTAAATTATCTGTGCTGTGGGGGAAATACGGGCAATTGGAGAGAATTTCTAAATCTGGCAGTGGTGTGATTGTGGCTGTCAATCTCAGATGTGATTAAAATAACTTAATTTAGCTTCCTGGAAACTCAAGATGTTGATGTGTGTATTTGGCAGCGAGGGCCTTCACTGCCTCTACAACCAAACTTGATCAACATCCTTGCTGTGGAAAAAAGTGTTTTGATATATTATCTAAAAAAATATTTCTTCCATAAAACATGGTGGAAAAACAACCTTTCTTAGCTTCAACTTGAACTGAGAAATCACAAAGGGATGTTTGCATGGTCAAGAAATCAATTTTCTTAGAATTTCAAGAACAGGAAGGACGTTTTTGGGTGTTAGCAGAATATTTTTGCGTGGGCAGAGGTTTGCGCCCTTCCCAATTAATTCTACTTTATTTACTACGTATTTACTTTACCTCTATAAAAGAGTGGCTGTCTGCTTGTTTGTCTATGCATTCCTACACATGCTTTTTGCAATGTGCACTGCTTAGAGGAATTAGAGCACACACTGTTAAGACTGTGCAGAGCCCCAACAGCCCTGCAGAAGTTGTAGATGTGCCATTCATGTAACCTGGCATCCACACAACCAGATTTTGAGTACTTTATGGCTCTGTGGAAAAAATCACGACAAATCACTAGGTTTGCCAACAAGAAAAGAAATACCCCCGCTGGAACCAGACCCTGGTTTCAGTTTCTCTTTCTACAGTCAATTTTAGTTTGAGGCCTTGCAGATCTTGCCTGTGTTCTTTCCAATTCAGACCAATATTGCTGCACTTTATGTGGTTAGTGCACTGAAATGCACTGAGTCATACTGGCCACAATCATAATTTTGATTTAGTGCACTTCACTGCTTCTGTTTCTGTGTGAAATATAAATTGGAACCTCGCTGACCTGCCAGTAGCCCGGTCATTTCAAACTCTCATTTGTTCAAACCCACAGGACAAAATTAAGTTTCCTAAAATACGACATATATACAGGCTGAATTTTGGCAGAAAAGACTGTATAATATGATGCAAAACAGGAGTGTTTGGCTTAAATATTCCACTGTGTAAACATAATAAAGTAAGTTAGCTGATATGCAATATACAGGAAGACATTGTGGAATTCCCAACTTTAAATCTACTTATAGGGTTAAGGAACATTCAGGGTGCCATATTGTAGTACTGGAAACAGGAGGATGCACATCCACTACTTCGGTTCTGGGTGTTTTTTTAAAAGTTTCCCTCCACTCAAAATTCTTATTCCTACAGTTGGAAGTTCAAGCTTCACTGTGCAGAAAATGTATGCGGAGAGTTTGACACTAGAAGGATGTTTTCACATTAATTTGTTGAAAGTGGAAATGTTTCTCTGTGCTCAATGAAAATCTGATTTGTGAAGTCAATCTTTGTATATGCAACTTATACAAGTGTGGTGTAGAGACTTAAAGCCACCAGTGAATTGTGATTGATTTTAATATTCATAGATTCTTGAATTTGTGGGGCAGAAAGAGCCTTTTTAAGGATTTTAATGTGAACTTTATTTATTTACTTAGCATAAAAAACATATCAGACACACATTATTATTTCAGGCAGACTATTTGTATATATGTCTTAATACATATATCCAAAAATATCCTCCACACATGTATTAAGGAACTATTTTGCCATCTAACTGTGACAATGTCCAAGTCAGCACAAGAATGGCTCACACAGAACTTTAGGCGAGAAGAAGAGAGCTTGGAGGTCATGCTCATTTAGTTCATGTCCTGTGGGTCACAGAACGGGACAGCTCCCCAGAGAACAAGCTCCCTGGGGTGTGTGTGTGTATCCGGGGTGTCCAAAAACAGGACTGCAGTTCAACAGTAGCAGCTTCAGCTCAAGGTCAGTAGCTGGATCAAAATGTTTTACTCCATCGCTAAATATACAGAGCACAGAGGCCCCATCCTGCACACGACCATGCAACAACATAATCTCATGCAGTCATATGGCATCTCTAATTTGAACACATGCATGTTATGGATGGTGCATGTATTTTTGCATATGATTTGCGGGGTATTATTAGTCTAGAGGGCAATCAGCGGTTAACTAGATAATTTAATCAACTCAGACTTCAGCATTAGAGTGTCAGCTCTCTACAGGAGACATCTAAAATGAATGTCACTCAAAACTAAACAGAAAACGATACTTTGATACACGTCTGAAAAATCCCAATTTTTTTTCTGCAGTGATGGATGTTGATTTAAAAATATTTCACAACCACTGGAGCCATAAAATGAACCAACCTAATCAAACATTTTCTGCACAGCCAAGGACCAATAGGTCTGTTTACTTACTGACTGTGCCAAGTAGAGTGTGTTGTATCGCTAAATGTCTTCCTGGAATGATATTTGGATGTGAGCTGTTTGTATTAGATTAGATAGGCTGAATTAGTATAGATAAACTTTAATAGAGAACATTTGTTTTACTCAGGCCAACAGAGGCACATTAGTTGTCAGGCAGCATTTGTTTACTGGCAAACAGTCCTATCTGTATCTCCAGCAGTTTATTAGTACTACAATGAAAAAGATCTGAGGAAAATGACTTCATTCAGGAGAATTACAGGATGTGAGGGTCTGAATTTATAAAGAACACTCTTAAAGAAGGAATGTACTAAGAGGGTTGTTGAGTGCAGTTCCCCCTTATTTTCACATGATTAGTTCACTTTGTTTTGTATGTACCACTGAGATAATCAAGTTTTTTACTATTTTCTCTTTGTCCAATTCAAACCTTTGTTAGGTTTGTCTTGGACTGCACTAAAGTATCCCATCACAGTGTGGGCATGTAAAAGGTATAGAAGAGCAGCCATACAGGTGACACAGATGATGGCTTAGTTACTGAATGATACACTAATCCAAAAGGATGGCTTGAAGTAGACTGAAAATTTATAAAACTGGTTTCTAAGCCAGTACTTCTGTTTGGCCCCTGATAAAGAAGAAAGCCAAAATATTGGGCTTTGATTCAGCAAAATGCTGTCTGAGTAAAAAGTCTGTGTGTGGTCCTTTTTCGAAATCACATTTCCCCCCCTAAGTTCTCCCTTAGTTGCCTAACCTTCACCAAAACCATCATGCTGTAGTTGCCAAGGCTGAATATTTTAGGGAAACGAAATAAAGATTTGACAGTGGAAATCTGTGATGAACTGCTCAATTTGCAAAAGTCAAGAAGGAAACCACTCCTCCAACACAGAGCACATAGTTAAAAGAGCATTGTCCTGACCACTGAACTCCTGTAACACTGCCGGACTCACGATAGACAAAAAATCTAAATCAAAAGCTGATGCAGCAGAACCAGAGATACTGTCTTTTGTAGTCCATGCATTCTTCTTCCTTTACAAAACCTGCCCTTACATTACCCACAGTGCCACTCATATATTAACCTTTGGGTCAGAGGTTCAGGTGTGTTAGACTAGTAGCGGAAGAAATCTGAGATACATATTGCAGTGGGTATTTATGGGGTATGACAAAGTGAAAAGAGCAAAAATAGTTGAATTTTTGGTATAATTGATCAAAAATAGAGAATAAAATCACACAGTTTGGAGGGTAAATGTGAGATGTTCATGTTGGACAAAAAAGAAGGAAGTGAGTTTGATGATGTATAGTCAGCGTTTTGCACGGGTAATAATAATAAATAAAATGATTGCAAGGTCATGCAGAATTCACAAGGATTGGTTGAATTTGCGTTAACTGTTTGCAACTTCCCAGAGGGACTGGCTGATGTGGCCTATAGCCTCAAGCAGAAATGAGGAGCAGGCTACAGATGTCTGGTAAGCTCACTTCTTTCTGATTCCGCACCCCCAGACCTTTTCATCTTTTAATTTAGACTCTTCAGTCCCACTTGAGGCAGTTCAGCTCATGTTTGTAGACATGTTTATCTCCTTTTCGGTCTTGTTCCTCCTGTTCTATGCCTGTTGTATAGTTTCTCTTGTTTCTTTCTTTCTGCGATTGCACTTTCCTTATCGCTAAAGCGAATACACCAATCCAGCAATGTAATGTAAGATATGTGAAATCAGCTGTGAGTGGCAGCCTCTTTGGAAATCTGGTTTTGGCCATCTCACTGACACACGCAAACGTACAAACACACTAACCTAGGAGTCGTACGATGTTTGGATGGTCAAACTGAGCCATTAGTGCTGCCTCTCTCTGGAAGTCATTCTGCATGTCAGCAGAGGCTTCCTCCTTCAGCATCTTCACAGCCACCATCGTGAACGACTCCATTGGCAGCAGGCCTGGCGCTCTGCAACAAACAGACATGCATAGAAATATTCAAGAACTTTAAAAGGAGCAGAGATCATTTAAGGATTGCTGATTAAAAGAGATTGCTTCTTCAGTAGCCGCCTTTTTTGTGCATGAAAGCATTCAAAAATATATGATTCACTATATAAATACACAATATTATGAATTTCCGTGTTGTGTTTTTACTTTGTAACTTTGTAATGCATTTACCAGATTTTTGTAACCAGGTGTTTTGAATGTGTCTTTTGAGTCTACTAACAAGAAGCTTAGCAAAACAGTGCATCTGTATTAGTGTAGTGCACTATAAATGTCAGTCACTTGGGGGAAACATGCATTAAACACACAGACATGCACTTCCTGTTTTGGCTCACCAGAGGGGCAAACAAAAGTCACATGTTGTTTCTCAGTGTAGATTTATATATAGCCTGCACACAAAACTACATGCACACACATGTATGGAAACAGTCACCAACACACGTACATTCACACACACGTTGGGAAACTACAGATTGAAGCCCATCTGTGAGGGAAGAAGAAATGTACTCCTGGGGTCTATTTAGGTCTCTGTGCGTGTGTATTTGTGCATGTCTGTCTGTGTTCATATACGCATGAAAATGCGCTACTATGCATGTATATATATATATATGTCATTGCTTATCTGTACTCTTGAGTGCATGAACGTACAGGAAAATGTCAACATTTGCACATGTTGCCTGTTTCTGGTCATACATTGTGTGAATGTGTGTGTGTGTGTGTGTGTGTGTGTGTGTGTGTGCCATTGTACTTCCATTTTACTCAGTAACCCTTCTTACAGGAGGCATTAAATTAGGGTTTTAGGTTGAGGTTTGGCATCTAGTTGTAATAGTCAAGATTATAGATTGACTAAAAACGTACACCAATGGCATTATATGCATAGTCATACAAATGTGTGTGTATAACTGTGTGTGTGTTATGTTCTCAGGGGTGTCCATATACTGCACCATTCCAGTTTTAATTAATGGTAATCCCACCAGATAGCCTGAAGGACATCTCTCAGATCTGAGTGGCTACAAGCAGGTGCTACTGTGAAAATGCCATCAACTACTATAATAAAGTGCTGACTGTACTATTGTGTGTTCTGTACCCTGATTTATCTGTGCTGTGCTCCACAAATTGGAATTAAAACTCTCTGTGCTGTCTGTGCAATATCATGAGCAGAAGGTCAAATTTCTTAATTGCAGTCTACGGCATGACGGACGGACCATAAATGAGTGTGTGTTGTTAGCAGCAGTCTAGTAGCAGCACACTATAGAGCCGAAAGCTGTAGGCCTAAACCCTCTTCACTCCACTTCTGACTGTGGCCATTTAGAAAAACTATAAACACGTTTGGTTTGATTGATGAATGTAGTTCTGTTTGACGCTTACTGTTTAACCTCCTATGTGTGAAAATGTGCAGTTTATTGTTTGTGTCAATTAAAGGCTGCCTACCAGTCGGGGACAACGCAGGGGGTGAGAGGGCTGTGGGACTTGCGTAGGAGGAGATAAAGTCTAATCATACCAAGTCTCATAAGGTTAGAAAAACTTTAATCTCTCCATTTTATCACTTCAGCTGCCCTGCATTCCTGTGTGAAACATTTTGATTAGCTGCAGTTGATTTCAGCCGTGGATGTTTAGGCTGTCAGTGACAGGTAGAAATCCTGTGACTGGAGATCACGTCACCACAAACCATTAGATTTGGAAACGACTCGTGTTTGATGTTAAACACACTTTGGGTAGATTTTGGTGTTGACAAAATTGCTGTTGACTGTATTTTATAATTAAATTCTCATATTGATTATTTGTATAAATGCATCTACTGTATGACCCAGGTCTGGTATTTAGTCTGATCACAGGGATTAGTCTGAGAAATTTGCGTCTTGCTGTGAATGGGGTCAGCGTGGAGGGAAAGTGACACCTGTAGCAGCTCTCCTTGTGACTTTGTGAATGACGCAGCAGTTCTCAGAATGGCCAGTGGCCTTGTTTAGCCACTCTACACCCCCCCTCTCTCTCTGTGAGTCCTGTCTGACCCCTTTCTCTTCCTCTGCCTGAGAAATATCCAGATCATCATGTTAGCCCCTGGCAGGGATTATGATGATAACATGGCCATATTAAATATTAGTCTGAGTAATATAATATTGCAAACAGATATCCCTCTACAGTCTCTCTCGCATTTGGGGTCCAAGGCTGCTTGACCTCTTCTTCTCTCTCTTTATCATCTTCTAACTCTATTCCTTCTTCTCTCCTTTCATTGCCTGATTGGATAGATATACAGTATAGTTTTTTATATAATTTCCCCTTTCCCCTTCATCTCCCCCTCTCACCTGGCTTGGAAAACCCGTCCAAAGGCTCCCTCTCCAATATCTCTAACATATTGGATATTATTTCGGGGATATTCGAGGGCCAGCAGCTTTGAGTTCAGCAGCAGGGGAACCCGCTGGTACATGGGGTTTGGGTGGAGTCGATCCAGCAGGAGCTCCGACGGCAGAGCACTGAGCGTCGGGGTCTCCATCGCTCTGCAGGGAGAGAAACAGGGGTTGAGGGATTGAAAGGTGAAACACACAGTCAAACAAAGACAGTCTTGTCTGTATCTTACCTCTTCCGGTTTCTCCACTGCTTCCTCCGTCTGCGGCAGGCAAGGATGATGATGGTGAGGAAGACTGTGGCTGCGAGAGCTGTCAGGATGATGACGATGACGGACATGGAGTAAGCTGGAGACGATACTGTGGTCGTGGGAGGGAGACGAGGAGTCTGACGAGGGCCTGGTGACTCTGGCTTCATCCCTAACAGACAGTTCAAATCAAGGTGCTGTGCTGCACTAGAACCAAGCATTTATTTCATTTTATTTATTTTTATATTAATACAGTGCGGAGCCCAGCAGGTACCATGGGAAAAACCAAAACCAACTGATTGAAAAATGTATTAGTAATTTGGGGCCTTGAACTACTTAATTTTATTAGGTGTCAGAGTTGCAAAGTCTGACCACAACCCAATTATGTTAGATTGACCATGACTTTCACATTTGATTCTGCGCTGTATTATGCTAAATGCACACAGCAAGAAAAGGTGGTTTAGCTAAAACAACATCCAATACTGCATTACGGCAACATGAAAAACTGATGATGGGACAATGTCCAGAGTAGATGTCAGGACTTGGAAACCACTGAAAATAGAACAAGGGACAGAAGATAGAGGGCAGTACCTGATACCATGCTAGTCTCCCCACACTGCAGCACAGCGCAGTACTCCCAGCGTATGTTGTGATTTGAGGTGTAACACCAGGGCTTTTCGCTGATTCCTCCTGGGTTCCTACAGTAGTTATCTGAATTCTTCAACTCTGGAATCACATCCACAGAGAGGCGGTGCTGGTGGGGAACCTACAGGGCAAGGAGGTGAAAGGAGGAGAAAAACAACGAGGAAAACCATTAATAAGCAGTGTATAACCAGCTGTGAGAGGCACAGGAGAAGTTGAGTGCTCTTAAGAATTGTAGCATTTTGGACAGGAGCTCTTTACTTCATGTCCTGTCAGAAGTTTGAGTAAATGTGGGATCCAGTCTGTGCCTCCAGAAGTGTTTTTGAGTTAAACATTATCTGTTGCTGACCCTATGCTCTGGAGAGGGATGAAGAGGAAACAGACTTGTCTTGAGGGATCAGTAAAGTTTAATCATTTGGATGGACAGAGGTTTTACTTTTCCAAGAAATCTCTGACGAAAAGAAAAAACTAAGACATTATTTTTTTTTTAATTTAATAAATTTCTCAAGTTGTTTACGGACCACGGTAAGGTTACACTTTAATAGCTGCAGAGGGTGTAAAATGTACTATAGTGAGGGACATTAGGGGTTGTACGGTTGGTTCTGCAATAAAGAGTGCCAACTCAAACACTAAACATCTGGTGTCTTCATGTGTCATGAGCTTTAGTCATCAAAAGAGCAATGGTCCAAACTATCCCGAGAGATGTGAAGTTATGAGCTGAAATGGCTGGGTCCAACACATGAGCTGCTGTAGCTGAATGCGTGAGGCAAACTGCTCACACGGTGGATTTCCCACTGGTGCCAAAACAGTGCCAAAACAACAAGTGCTCAGACCAAAACGACAACATGGGTAATTTGTCATTGCCTTCCAAAATAATCCTCTGAGCATTTCCTGATCCAGCACACCTGTCTGCAGGATGACATAATTTTTCGATGTTGCCGCAGTGGTTCACAATTCAAAAACTACTTGGTTAACTAAAACCACTTTAAGTTAAGAAAAGACTGTGGTCGTAGTCAAAAGAAAAGAAAAAAAAACATTGTCACACCACTCGCTTACGAGGCGAGCTGTCATTACTCTAATGACCACAAGAGGTCACTTCACAGTAGCGTTGTGTATTGGCAAGAATCTGCTATACAATGTGCATCACAATACAACATAATGGGTTATATTATGGTTACTGTGAGACAGTATATTGCGATATTTTTTTGTCTAGTTTTAGGAAAACTCTCATAGTATAAAAACACACCACATGAATAATAATGAGTTGTTGTTTTCTAAAAAAGTGTAGTTTAGAATAGTGGGATCTGCATTTTTATTTATCACAGTCCCTGTAACATCTAATAGCATACTACTGTTTACATTTACAACACTGCTATCTAGTGGTTGGGGATTTAAACACAAAAATGGATACAGTGTTTTTGACAATTGAAAACAGAATTTGGCGATACAGTATGTTTCGATATTTCCCTACTTCTCAGGGAAAACAAAAATGACAGATGATTTTCTTTCTACGAACACTTCATAGCCCTTTTTATGACAAAAACAGAAGTTTTTAGTTTTTTTACTGAAATTAAAAAAATATAAGACTAAAAAATAATTAAAAAAGGACAAATTGATGTAATAACCTGCTTGACATTAACCAATATATATCATAGTAGGTGTGATAATAAATTAATAATAAATAATATCTTAACAGTGACTCAAATGGCATATGTTGCAAATATAACATTTCACGTTGACTAATAACTGGTGGTCACTTCTTTTATTATATTTTATGGACTTATTATGACATACAGCAGCTTTCCTACTGACTAATCAGACATATGTTTAATTCATTAATTATTATTCTTAACAGTCTCGGTGCATAAAGGCTGAATCAGAATTTGGCTGTAGTATCTCTCCATGACTCAGCACAAAATATGACACTACTCACACTGTGCACACAACATGTACAGTACATGTACATGTAACTCTACGGCATACATATGTGTTGAGTATGTGCTGGACATAAATGTGATTTTACTATGGAGAGTGACATGTGGGACATTAGAGTTGTGTGCTTTTTTCCTACAGGACTCATGCATGCAGAATGTTTTATATGCACTATAAAATACATTTGCTTAAAAACATCTGCTCTATAATGCAGAGGAGGTAAATGATGACTTTGGACCGAGCCATCGCTGAATGTTCTTGTGTTATAGATTTCAGAAAAACGACACTGACTGTGCAAAATATTAGGAACTACTGCGATTCTAATGGGCCAGGTAGGCAAGTGAAAGCTACACTCCACTTTCAATGTTAAACCTTCCATCAGTAATTATACAGAGTTTTCTCAGTCAGGAATGATTGATGTAAGAGAGAGCTCTTCAATTGAGCAGCTTTAAGTTGGTGGGATTCATTTCAAAGTTGTTCCTTCAGTTTCTTGGTACATTTCCAAACACAGGTTGCAGACACAGAGATTCACACACGTTTATGTTTTCTCTACCTTCAGCTTCATTTTGCACAAATAGATTATGTCTCATATTTTCAGACAAACATGCTCAGTCACAGATTAGTGGATGTTAACTCTTTTAACAATACCTCCAAACCCTAATTTGAAATAAATTAAGATATAACATGTAGCAAGTAGAATATTAATTTATCAAGTTTTTTATAATATGCTGACTAGTGCAAGTGAACAAAGTGGGAATTTGACATTTGGGAATTATTATAAGGCTTCTTTAAAATGTTGCTATGTTGAACTTTTAACTATTAATCAGTATTCGTGAAACACATATTCCCCAAATAGAAGGTTGATTTTAACCATCTAAATGAGGTCTACCTCATTTAGCTGAGTTCAGAATGAAAATGATGCAATCAGCTTCTCATTGCCCTCTAAGAAAACTGTTCCAGCAGATTACTTACAAAAGGAAATGAAAGCTTAGATGCTGGCCAGGAACTTAAGAATCATCAAAATAATCCCACAGCATTTAGCAGCCCTTTAACTTGTGTTTGGCGAGGACATCATATCACAAAATTACAGTCTCTCCCTGGAAGCAGCACATGCTACATTTTCCCTACCTGTAACTTCAGTGTAGGCCAGTGCCTCGCAGATTTCTTTTTTACAAAAGAAAGGAAATGGCACCCTGAGCCACCCAACCTATAGGGCTACTAATATCAAGTTAAATAACATAGGGCCATTCTCAATATAATATATAATGTGTTTGTGTGTGTGTGTGTGTGTGTGTGTGTGTGTGTGTGTGTGTGTGTGTGTGTGTGTGTGTGTGTGTGTGTGTTAGTGATGGAGTCTGTGCAGCATATGCGTGTGAAAGCTAATTGCTTCCAGAGGCAGGATGTGACATGATGAGCCCCTCCCTCTCTGCTGACCTGGCACACACACACACACACACACACACACACACACACACACACACACACACACACACACACACATACACACACACACACTGCTCAGGGGAGTAGTAACAGTTCACCCTAGCAGACCCTCTCACTGAGCAAAGCCATAAAAACATAAAGACGCTTTTGGGTCACAGGGAACGTGTGTTAGTGTGAGCCTGTGTGTGTGTGTTCTTGTGTTTGCACTTGTTAGCACTTTTGTGTATTTTTCTGTTTCTGGTTAGAGGTCAGGAACATTTGATATTAAACTGAACATCCACACACAATAATATCAGTTACACTTCGGTCATTTACTGGTGTAAATCTGCAGGAAACTTAGACACTTGGGTTTATGAATACAGGAATTAGTTGTGCTGGACCTAGAAATGTTGTCAACACTGTTCAGCCCTATATTCTTTTTCATACCTTTTTTTTTGGTGACTGGGACTCACAAGTCAGTATAAAGCCATTAACATGCAAAATTTCTCAAAAGACATATTTTGTTCCACTGCATGAGGACGTTCCCATAAGGAGATACTGCAATTATTAAACAAACCCTATTAACATGTAGTTATTTTGTATCTGCACTCCATATTTTAATTGTATTTATATTGTCCAGTGATGTGACATTGTGTGAACACACACACACATACACACAATCCACAATACCTGCTGACTCCATGACTGACACGGTATCCCAGACCTCGTCACATTTATGCTGCCTTGGTAGAAACGGCCTCTGTCATTGTAACATATTGCTGTTGATACCAAATAGAGTGTGAGATTAGATGACTGGACACAAATAGATTTATGCTGCATTTAAATGCTTTCACACTTACTTGTAATTTGATCTCTCTTTATGTCTGAAATGTAGAAAAGAACTGATTAAAATATGCTTAAATAGTCAGAGGAAGTACAGCTATTAAGTAATCTGAATACAAATATATGTCATGGAGAAAACAATATAGCACTGGAAGTCTATTCAGTATAGTTATGATGATATTACACAGCAAACATACACCTATGACTAGAGACTTCCGTCCAGCAAACACATGATTCACACACCTGCAGCTGTATATGTTGGCTCAGCTAGTTAGACCATCTTAATGACCTCATCAGTATCAGTATCATAATAATTTTTCATATGTAGGATCACTACATCAAGGCAATCATAGTTTTGTCGCTAACTAATATATCTGCATATATTTCAGGATGTTGTGCATCCCTTCAAACAAACAGAATGAGTGTAAACATAACTGTTCCGATAATATAGCTTGTCCAAAAAAAAGGTCTCGTGGCTCAATTTGCCCCGTGTATGGGGTAAGTTGAGCATAGGAGCGGGGTAAGTTGAGCCGCTTAACATTAACAGCTGTGTTTTTGGAATATACATTGTTTTTGGATACACTTATTGAGTGTATTTTGGCTGTAGCCACCGGCTCAACTTACCCCTGGCCAAATGGCTCAACTTACCCCAGAGCTACCATTCTGACTTTATTAGTCCCCACAGCTAAAATGGTGCACTTTTATGCTAAGTTTATGACCTCATGTTGTAGCTCATAGATACCACAATTGATGTAGCCTATAAAACAAAATTATCTATTTTGGTCTAAACACAATTCGCATGAAACTTATGATAGACTAAATTCACTTTCAAGAGTGAAAAATGATTTTTTGGAAATAAATATCAAACCACTTTACCCATGTGGTTCTTACATTCACAGACTCCATGAAATGATGCCTTCCTCCTAAATGTATGGTCACATGATCAATGTTTTTTTACCATTTCCTAGCAACAAGGGGTGGCTCAACGTACCCCACTCTCCCCTATGCTTGCTTATCATAGGAAGTAATAAGAAATGACTCTTTACATTAAGGTAGTAGCCTAGTGAGAACATGGTGTTGGGGGAATCACTTTTTTTTCTCTTTTTCATCAAACCGCAGTTTTTGCAAGTTCCCGCAAATTTTTGCAAGTTCATCGCATAAAATTGCATAAATAGCCTGCATATTCCATCGCATTTTTTAAGAAAACGTGCCACATAATCAAGGATTTTTGCCCGCAACAATCACAAAAAAACTCCTTTCTGCAGTATTGAATTAACTAATCGTAGATTTAACAGATACCAGAAAGATTCATTTGTTGGTTGCAACACTGTATACTGTAAGAAGCAGTGGCGGACTGGCCCGCTCCGTGTTTGCCGATGGTCGGGACCAAAGGCTCGGTTCGGGTCGCGCTTGATTTTAATAATTTTAATAAACAATCCGCCGTGCGGCTCATTGGGGTATCTGCAACGTTGGGCACGAACACACCCCCTCCTCTCTTTTTCTGAGGTGTTGGTCTGTCAGCACTGCAGGCACACACACAAGGTGCGCCCCCTCCTCCCTCACCTGTAGTTCTACATGCTTGAAAAATGGAGTGAAATCGACAGCCCAAGAGGAAAGGTGGAGCAGAGAGGGAGAGGCTTAAAAAGCTAAAAGCACTGGCCACAGATTCAGCGAAGTGTTATAAAATAACTGACATGTTTGTCAGTAAGGGAGCAGGTGAGACATTAAACACTAGTGGTGACAACAATCGCACAACCATAGCCTATCCAGCACCACTAGCTTAATGAGGAGGTTAGTTCCACTTTGTGGAAGCTGATGGGGCTAAAAATGACTTAATAAAACAAATGTTTTTAAGTTGTAACAAAGGATATTGCAAATTTCTTTCTGTGAGTGTAAGTTTCCTTGTTTACTGTAACAGAGAATAAACCTACACATCTGCAGTGCGCCACTTGTCTCACAGTGGTCAAATTTAGAACTAGTCTGGTACCTGTTACATTAAAAATAGGATTGGTCTCAAGTTTAGGTGGATGATGGTGTAACCTATTTTATTTCATCTACTACTACACTTTTAATGTGCAGCCTGCACATTTAAAGTGTAGTAGTTAATGAAATAGAATAGAAATTATGTGATTTGAGTACAGGTTATTGCAGCACACAACAGAAACATTTATTCTGTAGGGAAAAGAAACAGAAAAAGCTGTGTGTGGGCGCATGTTATTTTACACTCTTAAATCCGTAGGCGCCCAACCTAACTCACTCTTGGTGTTTTGTATTAATCGGGTGGTGGTGGCCTGGGATGGTATCAAATTCCCACCTGAATTATTGTCCCAGTCTGTCCCTGGTAAGAAGTATACAAACTCACGCATATAAACCATTTGCCAACTAACTCCTAGGAGGAGTCCATGAAAGTTTGACAAACCAGCATGAAAATAGCAGGACCTGTGCGTGGGAGATAGAAGAAACTTTACATTTTGTGGTATAGTCTGCTTGTTTTATGAAACACCACTCAAAACTGTCTCAATTAGGGATATCCTACCTACAAAAGGGACATGTGTGCAAGCATCAGGGTCTGTGCGAAGACTTGGTAAGGCCTGACAGTTGGGCAGCAGTGAAGTGGGAGTGTGGGACCCAGTGACAGAGCTGAAGAGGCCAGGCTGGACTAAACTGCTGCCCTCTAGTACCAACCACTCCTTATGGCAGTACAGCTCCTTCACTGCCAGGCAGTGTTCCCTGTTTTGTAAAGGAAAGAAATAGATGATGATGCTCACATTCATTCATATACATTACGAAGTGAAAAAGTGAAACAAAGAGACACATTTAGTTACCTGCAGACAGGTTTGGGTGCCGGTCCTAACCCTGATGGGTTGCAGGCAGGGAAGGAGGAGTGGCACAGCAATGAGCGGACTGCGGGGCTACACAGCATACTGAGTCCTTCCAGCTCCGTCCACCAACTCTGAACCAGGTACTCCTGCATGTCCTCTGGGTCCGAGAGGGAGGAGTTAAAGAAAACCAGCAAATCGTCTTGCAGGATGGAGCGGCACACGTCTCCACGATATGCACTGCAGTAGCCTGCAATGCCCTTGTAAAGCCTGTGGAAAGAAGACACGCATATGCATCCATACACATACAACTATAAGATTTGAATGCCTGAAAGGGAGTTCAAAATGTGCATGTATCTTTAATTCTTTACATTTTGTATTAGTTTCTGCTATATATTGTCAGGCTACAGCAGTAGCTTTATGAAGTGTCCCATATGGCTTATATTGGGGTTGATGGCTGTTTTCTGAGGTGTTGAAGGTGTGAAGACATTTAGTAAGGAAAAACACTACTAGTCTTGTCTGGCAATACTTTTTCTTATTTATCTGTGTGGAGAATAAGCAGGTATGACAGTCTTTTTATAAGTGACACAGGTTCTTCCATCCATTACCTAAAACCCCTTATCCATTGCAGTTACAATGTATCTAAACTAGATCTGATATAATATAAATATATTCCACTTACTATGTGTAGACCTCACGGGCAAGGAAATATGAGTGGGTTATGACTTTATTAACTAGACCAGTTATTGCCTATATAATTACATAGGTGTATTTGAAATGGCGACTTTTAGCAATGGACAGGTACCCCTCAACACACAGGGAAGAAAGTTAGCCAAGGCACTGCCCTTCATCTGTAATAATATTGGCTGTACCTATTTGCAATTTCAGTGGTTGTGTATTTTACATAAAAGAAAGAAAAACTGTGAGAAATAGATGCTTATTATAGGTCCCCAGAGCAATCGGTCTTTTACAGCTTTGTGTGGTGTGTGCACTAAAAAAAGTCTACTGAAATATCCTCTTTAAAATGATCCAGATGTGAATCATGAGACAGGTTGTAGAAGATTCATATGAGATTAAACTCTGTCTGCCTGCCTGTTGGACCTCCATGCTGCCTCTAGATTGAACATAATCCTGCCTATCTGTTTCCCACTCCGTCCTCCCTCTTGTTTTCCAGCTCTCGCGTCTGTTCGTCTTCCAGCATGGACACGCTCCACATTTCATTCTGTCTGCCTCACATCCATGGTCTTTCTGCCTGCCTGTCTGTCTGACAGCCTTCACTCCACGTCTCGCTCTTTCTGCTGTATACTGCAACACTTACAAAATCCAGATGTCGCCTCTTAGGGAGGTTGGTTGCTTCAGCAGAGTTCAAGTCAAACCACCAAACTTAAATCTGACCTGTAAATCTATCAACCCCCATCATCCAGCTTCTCTTTACTTTCTCTCTATGACTCTCTCTCTGCTTCAGGCCCAGATGTTTGAATTTAATGTATGATTGAACCATTAAGCCTGATCCTGTTTTCTGTCTACAACATGTTTCTTTCTTCATATTTACCTCAGAAATTCTGGAATCCCAAGGCCAACGTTTTCTCTTTCTCTTATACCTTTCTCTCCCTCTCACTATCTCTCTGTCCTTCTGCAGTTACGTGGTCCAGATGTGGTGACTGGGGTTGTGTTGTGGTTCAGCAAAGTTCAAATTCAACTCACACCATATGGGTGACTAAGAGACTGGCTCCCTCTTGGTTTTGCAGGTTTACTGACAGAGCCAAAATGCATAATTGTCTTCAGCAGACCCAAAGGAAGCAATAGCACTTAGTCACTTCAAATACATATGGTTATGGTGCGAATATAAAATTTAGTGACATGCAAAAGGGGGTTCTACAGTGCTAAACACTAAGGCACAGAGTATTTCTCTTACCTCCACTCTATGGGGAAGTGGCAATATCCAGAAGACGTTGGTTGAAGAAGCACAAGAAGGAGAAAAGGGGACAAAAGAGGAGGAAATAAGACAAAAATCAGTCTCAGTAGGAAGAGAAAAGCAACCATGGTGCTTCTCTCACCAACTCATAGATAGCTGTGAGGGACAACCAGGTGGAGGGACAGTGTGTGTGGTCAGGGAGGAGGGGATGTGTGTGTTTTTTTAGGTGACTATGGTCATGGGGTGTGAGGGGCGGTGTGGTTGAGGTGTCAACCAAATGGGGGGTACAACAAACAGCTGAAGCCACACAAAACACTACTTATATAACTGACAGCTACCTCGAGACAATGTGACTCCCTAACACACACAGTCGTAAGCACTATCAGCGATTTTGTAATGTGTGATATCTTAGCGTTGAATGGAAATGAAAATGTGTCACTACCTGCGACAGTGACTCTAGCAGTTGCCTTGACAGTGTTGGCTCCGGCACTGTGTCTGTTGGAGGCCAGACATGTATACAGAGCCGGCTTGTTCACTGTCACTTTAAGAACGGACAGGATCACCTCTCCCACCAAAGTGTCTTCGACCGATGCACCTGAGATCTGGAGAAAAATAAATGACACTTAAAAATATATTATATATATATTATAAGATGAAAAATATGCCCCCTTTCAATAAAGATAGATTTGTTTTTGTCCACTGGGAGGCAGCAGAACCACCTAAAAACACAACACTGACACACTGTATTATATTATAAAGTTGTCATGGCAAATGTGTTAACAATTTAAACATCCAAGAGACGCAAAGCAACATCAGCATTCATTTGGAGTTGTATTTCCATTCTTATAGCTCTGGATTGGACCAACTTCTGAGGGAAATATCTGGCTCTTTAGCCAATAGCTCTGTTATGTTCACCAGCTAGCTGCTGACTTTCATCGTTTGGTGCTGGGTGGGCAGTGTATAGTGGGTTTTCAGAGAGACTGCTATGACTGAATCCAAACATTGGAGCGTAAAACCAAATGCTCCATAGAGCTGAGTGGTGCTGCAGAAATGACTCTGTCCTCTGGCAAAAGGTAGCATGTATGTCCCAGGATGATTATGTGTTGGGCAGATGATGGCAATAACGCAAAATTGAGTTTAGTACTTTAAGATATCGTGGTTGTGTGAAAGCATTTGGTAGCAGAATGAGTAGAACAGATGATGAAAAAAAGGACAATTTGTCCTACCTCATGAAATTAAATCATGTTCTCCGTCTCTGTCCCAAGATTTAATATGTAAAGTGTTAATACACTGTTTATAATATAGTCTCATGGGTGTTGAGTTGATAAAACTAAGCTCCCGGCAATAATATAACCACTTGTAATATATAAGAAGTTTTAAAAATGCCCTGGTATTCACACGGGGCAGAAGTAGCCCGATAAAATGTGTTTGTTGTTTTAGGTTCCTGTATTCACACTAACATATATATATAAATGATATATGTGAGGGTCTCTGGGTGTGTGTGTGTGTGTGTGTGTGTGTGTCAAGGTGCTGATGTGAGACATGTCTATATTTGAAGTTGTGTCTGACACCGCCTGTTTTTAGGACGAGCTTGATCCAGTCGCGCTGAAATTAATGACCTCAACAAGCTGCCAGAAAAGCAGCTCACACAGTCATTTTAATCAGCATAACACACACACACACACACACACACACACACACACACACACAGACATACTATTTACAAGCATTATGGGCCTGTAATCACTTTGTAGCTAGCACCCAAGACCATTAAATAGCCAGACATTATGTGGTGTATGTCTGCCCGCAGTGGCACGCAGAAAAAAATGTCTGCTGCCTGGTTGAAACATAGTCCTGTTTAACATTGTATTAGGTACTAGTTGGTATAATTTTTAACAGGTTTCAAGCAGGATCGAAGGCACATACATTACAGAGTGGGTGGTCTTAATTATGACACAAATCAAAAACAACAGCAGTGATCTTTAAAGAAAAGACCATACAAGTGCATGACAAAATGTACTTCTAAGATTTTAATTTTACCTCACCAGCTAAAATCTAAATAGATCATTGTTCCTTTTAGGTTTGATATGTTAACTTCTCTCCTGAGTCTACAGGACGTGGAAAACTCCTGGTGTTTTACATACTTGGGCTTTTGCAAAGAAAAAGAAAATTATGCATTTGGTACAAGGTGGATAATGTCTTCTCCTGCTGTCCTAAAAAAGAAAAACATTGCATGTTACAACTACAAAGGTGATTAAAACCAAACTGTCACAATGACTCCTATGTCAGAGCATAAGAATAAGATTATTAGACTTATCGTAGCAGTTGGAGACTTGACATTCTTGGTCACAAAGTGTATCTCAGTTATGTTAAAATATTCACCAGTGTGTACCTTTTTTATGTAACAGAATATTTCCCTTGCATGGCTGGGCTGTTGGAACATCTAGTCAGAGTCTTTAGATCACAAATCAGCAGTTAACAAAAACCATTCAGCACTGTAAGACTTTAAGAACCTTTGTGCTCACTCCCTTAAAAAAAATCCAATCCAATTAAAGCTGATAACACTGTGTATCATTGGCTAAATGGAAGGCAATCTCTTAGACCTGTTTAATATATGAGTTTTAGTTTGTGTGTTGTGTGTGTGTGTGTGTGTGTGTGTGTGTGTGTGTGTGTGTGTGTGTGTGTGTGTGTGTGTGTGTGTGTGTGTGAGGGAGAGAGAGAGACAGAAAGACAGAAAAGGAAAGAAGAAAAAAAAGAAAAAAAAGTGGGTTGTTTCTGTTTTTGTGTGGGTCTGTGTTCGTAGTGTCCTGGTTTCCTTATGTACCCTTGCTCATTAATTGTTTTATCGCTCGAGCCACGTGGACAGCAGATAGACAACATATCAATAACACCACTGTTGTCATGCAGTGCCGTATACAGTGACAGGTGTTTTGAAAGAGAAGAACATAATTGAAACCACTTAAGACACGTGTTGCTTACATAGACCAAAGCAAATGAGACACTATTACTATCGGGGATGTGCAGCTTTGTCAGCAATGCAGATACTGTATGTCTGCCACCAAATAAGAGACTTATGGAAGACCACTGCTGATCAAGTAATTTATTGCTTCCAAGTATTGTACATCACTGCAGTTAACTTTTGTATAATTAGCCCTTTGTCTGTCCTTTGGATTTGCCAGTTTCCCACCAATTTAAGTAGACAATGCTAATGTGCAGGTTGCAGGCATTAGCATTAGTCTACTAACTTTATTAGTTAGTACAATTGTATTCTTTAGAGAACTTCAGTATAGTTTACCCTAGTACCTCAGAGCTATGCTACAGTATGTGAAGTAGTATTATAGTATTATTACTATTATTATTATTATTATTGTTATTATTATTATTATTATTATTATTATTATTATTATTATTATTATTATATATTACAACTATTATTATTATTATTATATACCAATATGATATTATCTATTGTATGTATATCTTCTTGTATAGTCATGTATCTATTATACATATGCTATATATCATATCATATCTTGTGTATATATATATGTGTACATATTAGATATATTGTGTATTTATATTACATTATGTATGTATGCACACCTTGCACAGGCTGAATATATGACACATGGTTACATTATATCAATATTAATGTATAATATCTATGTGTATACATGTAACATCTGTTCAGTCATCATATTATATATACATATTGTTATTATATTATTATAAATATTATTAATATTATCGTTATATACTGTTATTATTATATATTATTAACAATAACACTACCATCATGTCATCAGTACTATTACCACCATCTTGCAACTACAACTCTTAGCACCTTACCTACCTATTTATCTTTTTTTTTAAATATTTTTTTATCTTTTCTATCTAAGTATTTTATTCTATTGTTGTATTTTATTCTATTGTATTTTATTGTATTTTAATGTACCTGGCTGCTATGACGACCCAATTTCCCTCCGGGGATTAATAAAGTCTACCTATCTATCTATCTATCTATCTATCTATGTTGGCTTTCATGGATATCTGCTCTGTTATTGTCACAGCTTTCCCATTATGTAAGGCTCCACGACTGACAATGTGTCACAATGTCAGCTACGTGATAATATTTCTCTAATGCTGGCTGTGTTGAGTGACATTTGAGCCAAACTCAACTACTGCAAAGGAGACAAAAATATTCCTGGAGAGATCACAAGAATTTATGAGAGACCTGGGGGACCGGCATGGATATGGATAGATAGATGGATGGATGGATGGATGGATGGATGGATAGATAGATAGATGGATGGATAGAGCACGGAGCTACAGCCATAAACAACACACCATAAACTTTGGATGCAAAGATAAAGTGGAGACCAGGATCATTTAGAAACCCATATTGGTCAAATTCTTTCACACACACACTGAAACCTGAGCACTCACGGTATTGCCATTTTCCAGCCAGGTGATGGTAGGGATTGGATTTCCCGTGGCGTTACACTCCAGGGAAATCTGGCTGCCATACGCTACCCTCTTCTCCTTAGGAACCCGCAGGATTCGTGCTGGTGCTGAACACACATACACAGACAGCGTAGACACATAAACTCACATTTACTGCAACCAAACAATTATATTCCACTTAAACCTTTTAAGAGAATATGTACAAGCCAAGCATGGGTTGAAGTGAAACCACATTTAAATACATACCTTGTACCTCTATGGTGACAGGCTTTGAAAAGGCCAAACCAAAGCTATTCCTGGCCACACAGCGATACTGGCCTGCATCCTCTTTCTGTATGTTATGGATCTTGAGTGCACCATAGTCGAGAATGGTAACACGGTCAGTGATCTGGGAGAGATGAGATGATTTGTTTCTCCCCTTTTAAAGACTGAATGTTTAAACATTATTACGACATTGTTTTTATCTAATACTGTGGGACACTTGAAACGAGAAAAATTTACAGTCTGGATACCTTTCCCATTTGCACCATTGCTCTACTGATTAGACCAATGCTGCATTAGTCTCAGTAAATGATTATCTTACTCAGTTTAAAAAAAATGAACATGTAAATCGTCTAACAACTTCCTGTTTTTTGTATGTGTAAAAAAATAAAAATTAAAAGCATACTTTGATAAGCTCATCGTCTTTGAGCCAGGTGACATCTGGTTTGGGGTTGCCGAGGGTAACACAGGGCAACACTGCTTTGGATTCTACCAGGAGGGTTACATTGGTAGGATGACGTTTGATCTGTGGCTCTGATTGAGGGACAGACAAGACGGGAGAGAGATAATCTATCTCAATACTACTGTGAGTGTGTTGTTCTTAATGGAAATGTACCATGTACAAATTCTTAAAAAGAAATGGGTTAGAGTTAGATCAAGATCAAGATTGACTAGACTCCAGCCCTACATCCTTGAAAGGAAGCAGACATACTCATCTTTAGCTGTAGTGCTCCACAGCTCTTGGCCGGCTCTCCGATGCCGTTACTGGCGATGCAGCAGTACTCGCCGTTGTCTGACTCTCTTACATGAGGGATGATTAGCATCTGTCCCTGTTCCCTGGTAATGTACCGGGGGTCATAATACCTGATTGGACAAAAGGGAGGGTGCAAAGCAAGAGTTACATTGTGAGCAGAAGGGACAAATTGACTTTTTAAAAATGATATTTAACTTTTCAATTGTCTTGAGCTTTAGAAATATTCTCTTTCTACTAACATTTTACCAATTTTAATGTTAGCCTTGCAATTTGCTACTGTTGCCAATAGTAGCTAATGTTGACGTCACTAATATTCAAAATTGCTTTATTGTTAGCCTTTTGATTGCCAAAATAAGCAGCATATTTCACCAACTTGTAATTGCCTAAGCTAGAAGCTAAGATAAACTAATGGTACATACAGATCTTACATAGTTTTTTTGCCATTGTTATGGCCATAATATTGCTAACAATGTATCATATCATTTTAATGTTTTCCTTGTAATTACAGATATTTAATCTTTTTTTCCCCCTTTTTTAGCCAATAGTAGTTAACGGTGATGTTACTAACATTTCTTTTAAATGCCTGAATGTTAACCTTTAACCTTTCGATATTCAAAATAAGCAGCTTATGTCAGTGGTTAGCCCTGTGACGTCATACAGTACTTAACAACTATTGTTACTGACTTAGGTTTCAGAGGGCAACATTTTAAGGCTATTTTAATGAAAGGATTACCCAAAACAATTTGACTGTTTTTGTATGTATAATATTACCTTATTGGAAAAGAGAATTATTTCAATTATTTCACAGGTTAGCATTTGAAACTTTGTATATATCTTAATGAACCTGCAGTACATCCTATAGATGCTGAATGCTGTAAGAGGTGAAGGTGTTTAACTCACATGATTGGATGGTTATTCTTGGTCCAAGTGATTTCAGCGGGGGGACGGGACTCCACCTCACAGATGAAGGTGGCATTGTGATCTAGCAGTACATCCACTGTCTCTAATAAGGTGATGATTCGAGGCGCTAAGCGATGAAGATAGGAAGAAAACATGAAGACATTCGTCACAAAGCAAAAAAGTCCACTGCAGTATTTGAAAAAAGGGACATGTGGAAAAAGAAATGAACATGCCAGAATGATGATCTTAGACTTTATGAACAGGGAATATCCTGCAAACCTACAAAATGTCATCTCTAATGCACATATTTTTGTAGCATGGGAGATAGGGTTGAAAATGTAGCATCCTGTGTCTTTATAACACATACCAGTCTCACTCAACAGCTGCATCTTTTCAGCCAAATTATTTGACATTCTTGGCATTCCTATTTTAGATAGACTCATCTGTTTCAGTCACTCAGTGACCAGCTATGACCGCTGACTACTGGGACCAGATCAGAGGTTTTGAGGTTGTTGTTTTTTTTACAGCTTTGACCTGAGAAGGATGACCTCCAGGAGAAGAGAAATCTGTTTAAATGTGAAATTATATCTGAAGGAATTTGGGATTTTGCAACGTGATATAAAGTATTGAGAAATAGGAAAGAAGAAAAGTATTAGATGGAAAAGAGGATGACACAGAAGTAAAGACATAGTGTTGAACTCGACTTGAGGTTTGTTAGAGCTTTTTTTTCCTTTTTCTTATTCAAACAGAAGTTGAAGCAAGGACATTTTAATTTAAGGTTCAAGGATACGCTCCATCCCCTGTGCACGCACTGTTCTCTACTATCTTGTTTCAACAGATGGTCTCTGTTAAAATTAAAGTGGGTAAGTTACCAATTCTGTATACACTGAATAACAAATTATTAGAACCACCTGTACTTTTTCATGATATGAATCAGGTGAATCCACAGTGAAGATGTGATCAATATTTATTTCATCTATTTAGCCTGCTTTAATCGTGAAAGGCAGAAAAGGAGAAGAGGGATTACTTTCAGACAAGTGAGACAGGGGAAAAGGAAAAAGCACCTCAGTATTAGTAAGGTAGTCTTATGTTTATTTTTTTACTCTGGGTGAATATGTTGAGGAGGAGAAAATAAGAGGGGGAGTAAAAACAAAGAAAAGACATGTTGAAAGGGAAAAGGAGATGGTAGAAGATAGTTGTAACACTGGGGTGAGGCAGCAACTGTTTATGTGTGGATTCAGATCAGAGACATCAGGGTTGCTTTAAACTTTGTATGAACTAAGGAGAGGAAGAGGCAAAATAGAAAACAGAGGAGAAAAGAAAAGGAAAGAACAGAGGAGGGAGAAAAATAAAGGAGAAGAAAGAAAAGGATTATTATGCTTGTTTTGTCTCTTGAGAAACAAAAATTTCTCAATAACATTGCTGGAAGGACCAGCCCACATCCACAACCCCAACCCCAGGTCACTGCTGCTGTTTGACTCATTAATGGGCGATGGAAAGAGGGCTACTGTAAATCAAACTGAAACCATGACATGAGGTTAAACCTTGGTTTAAAACAGTGGGATGCATTTTCAGCCAAGGTCAAAGAAAGGAAAAATATCTCACCACTACGTGCTTTGTTAAGTTATTTCATGTATGCAGTTTAAAATCGTATTTTTAGCCATGCTGGTGACATGGCTGTATGGTTGACAACATTGATCTGTTTGTTGTTCAGTCAGTCCATCATTTTACCTAAATATCTCAACAACTATTGGATGGATTGCAATGATTTTGTACAGACATTCATTGCCCCCAGAGGAGAAATCCCGGTGACTTTGGTGATCCATTTTTTTTTTTGGTGAAATGTCTGGAGACAAAGTGGATGCATTGCTATGAAGTTTAGAACAGATATCCATGGTCCCCAGAGGATGCATTTACATTTGTGGGTTTTTTCTGTGAAATGTGTCAACAACTATTGGATAAATTCTAATTTATGTTCCCCTCAAGATGAATTTTAATAACCTTGGTGACCCTCTGACTTTTCATGTAGTGGCATCATCATAGCAAAATCTGACACTTTGGTTTATGACCAAATACAATAATGACATCTACATCAGCCTCAAAAGCACCACTGTGCTTATATACAGTCTCACAGAGCCACTAGTATGGCTGTAGAGTCTTTGTGTCGTGTTTAATGAAACATTTTTAAAATGTGGCACAATTCAATATTTGCAGATACTTACTGTACTTACTGAAAGCCAGAAAATTCTTCTCTTTCAAAAAGAAAATTCAATTGTGTTGATTGCAGGACGTTATAGTAGTACCTTGGTTCTTGAGTGGGTTTGTTGCTGAATGTGTGTTTTTTTTCCTCACCATGTAACTGCCAAAATTACGTCTGAACAGATGGACAACATCTGAAGACTAAAGGTTTCTCTGTGGCTGTTGTTTAACCACATGACTCATTATTTAGAGCACACGAGAGCCTCACCAGATTTGACCCTTCGGGAGAGGTGCTTGTTATGAAATGCCGCTTGGACAGCAGAAATGATACAGTGTTGTTAAGGCCTTCAGTGAGGGCCGGTCACATCTGGCCTCTACTGTATGTATTACAAAAACCTACTTGATCCAAACCAAGTGTCTCTCATTATCACGCTTTGTGTGTGTCCACACCAGAGCATAAAATCATAAAGCTGCTAGCGTGCAGGATAGAGCTGAAAAACATCATTTTTGCTAGTTTGCTGCACTTAACCAATGTGTGTAGAGCTAGAAATGTATTTTCTTGTAAAATCCTCAGATATTAAAGCCATTTTGTCAAAGCTATCATTGTGTGGTTACCTATTAGCTCCACCAATTTTGCTCATTCAAATGTCTATTACAACATATGCCATTTATGTCTGTTTTGCTTTCTCTGTAATGACTCAGTTTTTATTCCATCTTATGTTTTATTTCCTTCAGTTTCCATTAGATCTTTGTCAACTCCATTTCTTTCATATAATAGGGACCTTCTTTAGAGCCTGTAACTTATAACATCCGTTGGTTCCTCTGGTGTTTGCTTTGATTTGCAGTTTAGTCCTCTAGGTTTTTTCCGTACTTTGAGTCGAATTGTTAACAGTATACTCTCTCACTCTATCATGCAGACCAGATACATATTTTTTTTAAACTTGATACTTTCATTGTGGTCGAACGAGAACAAACACAAAAATAGTATTGTTCTCGTGGCATGTCATGGGATCAGAAGTCTGCAAGGGAGTCATCCATTGTTTGTAGTGGTTTAGTTCAAACAGGCATGCTGTGCAAGATTTAAAAACACCCTCTTTAATGTATCATGCTGCCTGCGTAAGTGAATGCATAAGTGATCTAGATTCATCCTGCATATTTGACAGTTGAGTAAGTCCAAAAGAAATTGTTCTTTTGAAAAAATGAATGTATTCAACGTCTGCATGAGGTGTTATATTGTTTTGGTTTATGCTGTCACCAGTTAATCGACATCCATCATTTGTTTGCTCACACTAATTTCAAATGAAATCCAGCACAGCTAATGAAAGCAAGCTCAGCTCAGCCCAGCCGAACACATGAAAGTGAATCCTTTTGTGACATCCATCTCAGCTTTGCTCAACTGACCCACGCCTCAAAACCACAACACAGAGGCAATAATAAATACAAATAATAATATAATGCATTTTTACAGCACTTGTCAATCCACAGTTGCTAAACATTTCATTTGCAGCCACAGCTTGTAAAACTGTGCTCAATCAAGTCATGGGCAATTAAAGATAATCTTAAAAAGGCAAACCAAACTCATGTTTGGCCGCTTCATTTAAGTTCAGTCTCACAAATCTTAAAAACCAACTCAGTGCATTTGATGTTGAAATAATAGTTTAACATTATCTCATTCTCACATCTCATCTCTGTGGGGAACAAATAGTACTGTTCTGTCAAAAGTTAAAAACTACTGCTGACAAATGAACACATAACCTGTTTGTATTGCCAATACATTAAAATGAATACAAAAACGTGACCTTGTGGTTTTTTAGGGCAGACTTTCATCCTAAGCACATAGGGACTCAATCTGGATATTAACTGATTCATGGCACTAAGTAAGATTTCCTTCCAGTTTAGTTTAGCAAAGTATCAGGTATTTTCAAGGTCAAAAAGCTCAAGTCCAAATGAAGTCACGAGTCACTGGTGTTAAAGTCCAAGCAAGTCTTTTTTGTCATGTCGAGTCAAAAGTTATGAAATTTGTGACTCTCATCTGTGTAATGTCATTTACGTCCACACCTCTGGCTCTGGTACTGAGGATATTGTGGATGTTCTTCTAGCTTTGACAGTATCTTGAGATAATGAAACATCCTCCGTGTTAAAGAGTTTTTGGTAGAATTTCCATTTACTAATAACATTATAGACAGTTAAATCATTGTTCTTACTCTATCTAAGTTTTAGGTAACAGGATGCCTTTAGTGACTTGGACCAACAAGAAAGATGCCAAGTCTAACCCTACACCTCATCAGCCCAACCTAGCTCACCAGCTACAGTATGTACCCTGGCAGAATGTGACAGCATCTACACCACCTGTCTCTCTGAGCCGATCGGCTGCATGCACTGTATATCTGCGCTTATAAAACATGTATTGTATGTCAATGATCTGCTCTGCAGGCCTGTGCATGTGACCCTAAAAGTGTGCCAGCATTTGATATGGTACCCATCTCACATGTCCTGAAATCCAGAGGCAATGGGTGAACTTGCTTTAGTCAAAAGTCTTTAACTTAATAAGATGTCCATTTTTCATCATTTCTGGACCTGTTTTCTTTTGATTACCAATACTGTCATATGGCAAGTGTAGAATATACGGGAGATTAGCTACAGCCATTGAAGTTGATGAAAGATTCAGATTTATAGAACTCACAGGCTTTAAAAAAAAGTACAGAAATAATTGTCTCTTGGTGCCCACTTTCTGATCATGTAGGCACAGTACGGCAGTGGTGGAGATGAATCATATGGAAATCTGGTGTATTAGATACAGTGCAGGGAATAGCCAGCTCCTTACCACCTTTACAACACCCTGCAGAGAGGATATGCCAGAGTGTAGGAAGGATATAGATTTAGTCACATTTACACTGTGTAGTCCTATAAACACCTTCTCCTTTTCCCTACAGGATGGGATGGAAAACAGGTGATGTCCGTGCAATGTACTGTATGTAGGGAAATATTCTCTTTAGGAAAAGCTTTTACATAAGAAGAAATGATGCTCTCCATTATTTATTTTTTCCTTACATGTACCTATCCATTGTTGACTGTTGATCTTTAGCCCATATATTTACTCATGCACACATTATGTGTAATGCACATTATAAATATAGGGCTATATTGTAAAATTTTCCTTTTTCCTTCTTCTGTTTTTTGTATCTTCTGTTTACATTTTGTGATGATAACTGTTATTATGTAATTAATGAAATTATTTTACACAAGACAGTTTTTACATTTCTATGAATTAAATGAGCTATACAGAATTCACACTGTTTTACTGTACAATACCTGAATGTTGCTCGAGACACTTTTGGCAACCTATACTGAAAAACACACTCTTAAAAGCTCTTTGAGTGCAAGCATATGGAAACGTCACATACCTCTCTGTATCCCGTAACTTGAGGTGACCAGAGCCAGCAGGAAGACTGAAATGGCTTCCACAATCTTCATCCTGGCTTTATGATCCGCCTCGATAAAGCTTTTTGACAGGTTCACTATAAGCTGGCTGTTAGATTCCCATTGCAGGTAAGAAGACGTTCTTGTTGGTTGTCACTTTGGGTGTTCCTTCACTGTGTGCGTCTGCGTGTGTTGTAGCCAGGGACAGCCATGAGCTCTGTGCTCAACAAGGACCAGCTCAGTCACTCTGTGTGTGTGTGTGTGTGTGTGTGTGTGTGTGTGTGTGTGTGTGTGTGTGTGTGTGTGTGTGTGTGTGTGTGTGTGTGTGTTTGGTGACGGACAGTGGCAGCTGCCAGCTGTCCTCATGTATAGTCACTCAGGTTTTGGAGCCACACTGAAAGCTCCAAAGGCTCCAGTGCTGGAGAGTCATCCTCATTCACTGTAATCAACAACAGTGTCAGTCCACTGTTTATTTATCGAACGACACAAGCTGCATCCAAGGTTCTGCTTTGTAGTGCCATGTGAGTTGAAATAAATAATTTGTGTCAGTAAAGCTACAACAGAAACAGAAATCAAAGCATAGAAACAGCAAAAATTGTCACAAGTTGTGACAGATACTATAACATAAAACGTATATATACATAGGACACAAAGAGGACAAACATTAAAGCCACTGAGAAAAGTCACATTACCCATTAAAAGGAGACAAGAGGAGTTACCAGATAAGAGACCTTTCTATTTTCAGAAAGAGCAGAGTGTCAGGACAGCAGGTCACAATATACTGTATCAATATACTGTGTGTCTGTATCTTCTCAACATGCAGTCGTATATGCAGATAAACAACATTAACAATACATGTAAAGCATGTAACACATACTGTAGAATATCCGTACACATTATACGTTTTACTATACAAACAAATGTACACAGGCACATTCCAACTCGCCACATACTGTTACATTTTCACACACACACACACACACACACACACACACACACACACACACACACACACACACACACACAGTCCAGGAGGCAGCCTTTGTGTCCACCTGTTGCCTGCCAGCCTGTATGTCCTGTTTTATTTTAGGAAAGGAATGGCATTTCAGTTTGTTTGCTCCTTATCCATTCTGCTTTGGATGGCGTCAACTATTGTATTCCCCCAGCAGGCACGGTTAGCTGTACACATTGTTGTTGTTGTTTTTTTTAATTAACCGTGGCCTTCACAGAGGTAAAAGCGATGAGGTTGTTAATGCAGTTTTGTGCAACAGTATTAGGCTTCAGTTTCATACGATGGACAATACCGTCACTTGTGATGGTGAGGCTGCCATGAGTGATGCCGTTGTCTTTAGTCTGGTCATGTAACAAAGGTAGAAGGTGTAGTTTATTAACTATTTTAATGTCCCTTTCTCTTTATCACATTTACATTGAGCCCCTCCATCTTCACAACTTAGATAAAACAACACACATCACCACTAGGTGATGCTGTCAATCAGGGTAATTTGTACAGCATGGCAGAATATGGTATCATTGTTTGGTTATGTTGTTTTTTTTAAGTTAAGGTAATACAATACTGATATATCTCAAACACATCCACGGAACCAATACCAGAACAAAAGGAAAAGCATTACATTGTACTTTGCCAAGGACCACCTAATAAGCAGTATAATTCTGGACAGCTCTGGACAACAGTACTGATACTGTGACTCCCTCTGCTGACACAGAAATGAAGTGCATCTGAACTTGAATCACAACAGTAAACAAAACCATGTGTAAACATGATTTATTTATTTATTTGAGGGACTGGAAAGTGAAATAAGTTTTTTTTTGGTTTTTTTTTCAAATACTGGATACAGCCTGTGTTGCTGTCCTGGATTACCATGGATCCAACTGTTGGCACGGAGCTTACAGCAAAATGTAACTGCACCAGGCTTAACCCCAATGTGTTTGCATTACATGAATCCATTTATCCTGTAAGTAAACAGATGTTTTCTTTTGAGAGAGTGTAAACACTTAGGCATGTTTACACTTAAAAGTCCCATGTGACCCTAGTAATCTTAATAACATCAGGACAAGCTTTGGTTAATAACAAATGTTTGTGCAAATAAAAATCTGTTGTTCATCCTGCCTTCTTTCAAAGCTCCTGCTTCAGGGAGGAGGTGTGCAAAAAACGAAATGTACTCTCTGGTTAGATACATATTGGGACACCCGATCAAGAATCTGAAGCCCCATTTGTTTCATTGGAGCTGCTCTGTAACCCACATTTTTGTTCATGTGGGGAAAGAAAGATTATCACAAAAAAATAATAAAATCAACAAATGTATAGAGCAACAAAATACAAATATTTCAAAATATAAATAAAATTAGGAACAATTTAACAGATGAAAATTCTATCAGACGAACTTCAACAAAGGGGAAATTCTTTTTTCACTCTTACTTTACACACAGGCTTGAAAATCAACCATGCAGGTGAAGTGATGGTCTGCCATGTGCTCAAGGGCACCTCACCACTGCACAGGAGGTGGGACTAACCTCCAGTTACACTTACCAAGCTTTGACTAAGTTTGGGCTGCCCAAAGATTTGAGGTAAACACTTGTTCCCATACCGGGAGTTGAACCCGGGCCACCTGGGTGAAAACCAGGAATCCTAACCGCTAGACCATATGGGAATAGATACAACTCAGAACAAGGAACCATAGAGAAATTCTTAATAAAGTCAGTCGGGAGACGGGAAAGGCATCCAGTGTCGTTTTTTGCTCTTCTTTCAATTAAGTATACCCTCCAGTTCTGATATAACTGATGCTACCCCCATCTACACTAACCTAGCCACAATTGTTGTTTAACAAACACTGTCTTCTTCCTACTTTCCTGAAAGGATGCTCATTGTTCTGGTAACACTATATCGGCCACAAACGAATAGATTGAACCCTGGCAAGATCTTGTCATTATGTGATCCTGCGAGTCTAGCTGCCTCACAAGGTTAACTCCATGTCATGGTGATCCTCTCAGATTCATCACCAGTGGCAACAACATAGCCCCTGCCTGGAGATATGATATGAACCAACTGACTGAATGAAACGTTTTATAGATGTCTAACACAAAATTGCAATCCACATATTATTCTTACATTCTCTTCAGCTTGAGGAGCTTTCAATGAGGACAAAGCTTGAAAGTTGGCTAACAGGAAACTGTCACTCCACTGGTTATCTCTCTCTCTCTCCCTCTCTCTAGACACACACACACATACACACACAAAGCAGGAGTCATATCTGGTGTCAGTCAGCCCCTCCCTCTCAACGTTGTCTCAACGTGTTCTGCAATAATTAACCAGCTGCTGCAGTGTGCTACATAAGCTCCCCTCCTACCACATGCAATGTACTCTGGACCTATGAACACACACACACAGATACACACCGACACAAGCACACACACACATGCATACACGTACAAGGTACAAGAACTCAAACATGGAGCTTTAACAGCTTCTCAGCTTTATTTGTTTGGAGGTTGAAAGACTGGCCAGGTAGGAGTGAATTTATTCTTGATTTGATTTATTGTATGCTTCCTGTGAATGTAAAAGAACCAAACAGTGCTACTTTTTTTGAATAGCAGCATTCATTCATACAGAAGTTACCTGAATGCACCCACGGTCTAATATTTAATTAAAACTTATTCTAACTTTGACATACAATTACAATTTAATTCTGCTATGTTTTCATTTGTTAAGACATAACAGATATATTGCCTAAAAATACATGTAAAACATATGTCTATTGCTTTTTATTCAAATTAAACAGAACCAAACACAGGGGGCACTATACCAACACTACATATTTAAGTAAAATCTGTGCATGTAAGTTAGAAAGAACAAGTGTTCGAACCGTAGAAAGGGAGAAAGGAGTGGAGTAAGGGAGACCGTGAGGAAGAGTGAGGGGGAGTGACATACAGGAAGGTAATACAGGGAGAAACTGGGCGTGTCACAGTGTAACTTGGCTTTTTTCCTGCTGGCTATGTTTTTCCGGCTCATAGCTTTTACAATAAAAAAGCTTGCATACGTTGTACCCTCTATTCTGCCCTCCATATCAGTATGGTGTTTTGGCTTTGCCAGAGAAATGTATTATGACAACATTCATAGTTTTACATTGCTAAATTCTTATGTAGTGCCTCTCTGAATGTTGCGTTAATCCTACCGGCTTACAGTAGCCTTTATTTAAAGGTCCAGTGTGTAACATTTAGAAGGATCTATTGGCAGGAATCAAATTTGATATTCATAGGTATGCTTCATTTGTGGATAATCCCCTAAAAATAAGAATAATTTTTTCTGTCATATTGAACCACCATGTTTCTACAGTGTCCAGGAAAGGACCAACAGACAATGGCTCTAGATAGGGCCTTTTCTTTTCTTGTGAGTTACATGACAACCATAGTTTCTCTTATATAGGGATGTAGACTTTTGGTCTTGTTCATCATTACAACCAATTGGGTTGCTTTGATTCATGAATGTATTGACTTCTCCAGCAGCTCGGATTATTACCTTAAACTTGTGGCAATACCTCAATAGAAGTTAAATGGAACTCTCCCCCTACTGAATTAGGGGGAAGTGGCCATGACACATGACTGTAAAACTTCTGAACAAGGTGTTTTGTTTGGCACGGATGACATATTCATTTTCTTCTTTCACTTGTTCTGTGTGCTCCTTTGGCCTACGGGGCTTATGGCCGTTGGCTTCCTTTGAGCCAAGTTTAAAAGACTGCTGCTGCAGTGCCTTTGTTGGATTTATGAATTCTAACACATTATTGACTTTGCAATGCCGACCATTTATCACTAGTTCTCCTTTATTGTTGGCTTTGCTTTGACTTTTGACATGCATGTGAGTCATTAATCACACACACAAACGCACACAGTTTGGATGTATTTGCTTCAGGGAACCTTAAAATCTGCATGTTGAGGCTTGAAGGACACAGAGTGAAGTGCTCGCATTAGTTCAAGTTACAGATTAAAGCGAACTTCATGCACATGATGTACCAAAAAACAGAACAAAAATCCTCTCTATCACTGCTGTCTTCCATGCTTTCCTGTCTGTATTTATTCTGCCATGAGGAGTTTTTTTTTTTAAATCTTTATCTGCCCTTTTCCAGCAATAACCCATGTTATGTCTGTTCACACAAAAACATGCACTGTGTACAAACTTAATTTACAGATGAGCAAGTGAGCATCTCCGAAGCAGTAGATGTTAACTGAGTGTTGTGGTCTAGTCCTGCACCTTGCCAGGTTCCCATGGATCCCTGTTAAGAGCCAATGCAAGAAAGGCAGATTTAAGTATTTCTCAGGCATGCATCATGCACAGATTGGCCCCTCTTTATCAAAATGTTTCTAATTATTACACACAGAATTAAAATATAATGTCAATTGTACAGTAATTGCTGTCTGACACATCCATATAATACACACCCACCATGCGCAGGTAATTATGTGTATGTGTATACATATAAATATGTATTTTAAATGAATTATTATTATTCTTATTATTATTATTATCATTATTATTATTTTTATTTTTATTTTAAAACATCTAACATGTAACTGGCAGTCATGCTAGAAAGAAAATGTTCTCACTTAAACATGTTGTCCATTAAAATAAAAAGCACATATCAATTCATCATATGTAAACACAAGAGATCAGACTGACAATGTGGGATTTCCTGCATTTACCTATAAAAAAATGCATGAAAAGTTGCGTACTGCACCTTTAAATTTTGTTCTTGTTGGTGTAAAATGGTTGTCCCTTTGTACAAGAGTGAGCTGTCAGTCAGAATGAGGAGTGGTGGGGCGGCTGGGAGGACAGCTGCTGAATACCTGAGATATTTTGGCAAACAAGCTGAGACAGAAAGAGCAAAAGAAAGGAACAAAGCTGCTGCCTAAAGACTGCTGTGTTATCCACTGGAATTCAGGAGAATTAGAGACAAAGATAAAGATAGAAATGCAATAAAGTGAGAGAAAAGAAGAGAGAAGCCACGTGGATATTCCAACAATCTCTGTTCACAGGCACAGGCTTCAGTGCCTGAGACCAAAAAATAAACAAATGGCTGGGTCTACACTGTCATCACTGGTTACTGGGTGGAGTACTGTTATTAAATCTCTTGGAAACAAGCGCAAAATAAGAAAGTGAAAGAGTAAAGGCTCGGCTAGAGAGAGAGAAAAAGGGATAAATATAACACAAAAACCTTCAGAGAAAGAGAGAGAGAGAGAGAGAGAAAGGAAAGAGATATTTAAAGCACAGAAAGAAGAACGACAGAGAGACAAAGAAACAGAATCAAGAGGAGAGCTCTGATTTGTCATGTTAGAGAAGGTAAGACTCTAATTATATTGTTTACTTCTGGAAGGAGTGACTCTGTGTCGGTTGTACAAGTGCAGTGTTGTTCATTTTCTGTGCAATCCCTCGCTCAGTGTCAACACAATGCCAGTCAGTCAGGTGTCTTTGTTTAGGAACCTGGACAACACTAAAATGCACGCTGAAGTAGCATTCAAGTCTGAAACCTCTAGTGTTTGTCTCCTGCTTCAAGCTCAACAGCTAGCACAGCTATCACAAAAGCTGTTGCTATTCCTGATTTGTTTTGCTCTCTCTCTGCAGTAGTTGATACAACCAGAGATGAATAAAGCTGCTCGTCTCCAAGGGATCCAGGCAGGGGATGGGAGGACACTGTCCAGGTGGGTGTAAGCGAATGTGATTGTTGTCTTGTATACTGAAGAGATCAAATATAACATTTACAAAAACAGTACAGTTACACAACTTGCTTGGTGCTGCTCCTTGCTGTGCTGTGGTCTGCAGCATCGTGTATTTAGTCATTCACTGCTGTTGTGTTCATTTCCAGAGCAGAGTTTCTCTCACTGCTGAAAACCTACAACTGCTTCCTAAAGGACCAAACTCAACTTCACCTCGCTTACTCACAGGTATGGTATAATGATATTGTTAACATTTTTTGTTTTACGTAATTTTTCTCCCTGTCAGCCTTGTTATTGGCTTTAGACGTTTGTCATTACAGCACATGTGTATCACAGGACTTGCTTCAGGAAAAGTGTACATATAAGTAAAGTGGTATGTTAATTGTAAGTGTGGCTGTAGTTATACATCGTACAGGTGTCTCTGGGTCTGTCTCTGTAACAGGGTGCTGATGGAGAGGTGGTGGTGGAAGGCTTCCTGAATATCTCCTGGGGAGTGCGGAGACCCATCAGGCTGAAAATACAGGACGACAAGCAGATGCTTCCCTTTGCTCCTCTGATCTCACCTGACCCCACCAGTCCAGTCAGCCCGATCGGAAACAAGAGGTTGTTTTCAGCTTTGGTTTAATATTATTAGTATGGTCTATACATACGCTTTGGAGCCTTTGCATTCACAAGCCCAGACTTACCTGGCCAACAGCCTCCAACCTCTTTTAGCCAGGTGTTCTTATGCATTAGCAAAAGAAAGACTCTCATTCTCATTCTTTACCAGACATTATTATTCCAGTTTCCTCTCATAGAGAACCCAAGTATGAGCTTTGGGATTCATGAGATGGATATAGTTGTTGATTAACCACCTGTAAAGTGTAGTGAACAACCCTTGAGAACGAGAAAGTTCTTGCTGTTATAATTTAGTGTATTTGTCCTTCATTCAGTACACAATACATTGAGATTGTAAACAGATCAGTTGAATTTGAATTCAATGTTTTGTGCCAAGATATAGGTATGTTAAATTTAAGTCATATTCATTTCTGCATGCAGGTAATTAGGATAAGTTTGAGGTCTCTGAGATCATTTCCTCTCTTCCCTGCAGGGGTATGACACGATGGGGAGAATATGTTGACCTTCACCAGATAGATGAGATGGCTGAGACACCACAGGACACAGTAGTCACTGCTCCTTTACCAGGTTGTTTTTTTATTTTCACATATATCTCCATGATATTTTCACTACTTATCTTACAAGTCCTCACTTTTGTATAACTGTACATTGCAGCTGTTATTTCAAGGACAGAACATATGATTCAGTTCTTTGTTTCTGCAAACTCTAAAGGTCCAGTTGTTTATGAGACCACCACACTGCGTCCTGTGAGGCAGAAGAACTCAGAGCTGGAGGCGGAGTCCAACCTGTTTCGCTGCATGAGTGACGCCTCATTGGTTAAGAGGAGGAGGGGAAAGGGAAAGTCAGCAGCACAAAGAGAGAAAGAAAGACAACACCGCTTTTCTATCAATGGACACTTTTATAACTATAAGGTAGTGTTAAGCTCAACCCTCTCCTCCCCTTTCCATGTAACACATATGTCTCTCTATTTCTCTCACTCTCGTCTGCACTGTAGCTCATCAATCACCCATTGTCCCCCACAGACCTCTATCTTCACTCCATCCTTCGGTACGCCAACTAAAGTTCGTATCTCCAGCATGATGACCACGAACCAGGTCATTGAACAGTTACTAAACAAGTTCAAGGTGAGCTTTCGCACACTCTCCTCAAAATCATTGCAATGTATAAAAGGGTGCAAACATCATCAATTACAGTGATAAATCAATAGCAATAATCAAAAGTTACCCACTGGTACTGCATTATTTTATATTTAGGTTAAACTGATTACAATGGACTTTCTTATGAGTAGACATTCACAGGGTTGAATGCTGTAGTGTGTGATTATTTATTGATTGAAGGTATTGAGAGCTGATCATTTTTCCACAACAAGTTCTCACAGAGTTATTCAGTCAGGTCAGGTCAGGTCAGCAGTGGTGGAATGTAACTAAGTACATTTACTCAAGTACTGCACTGGAGTACAGATTTTAGTTACTTGTAGTTAACTTGAGTATTTCCATTTTATGCAACTTCATACTTCTACTCCACTACTACAGAATGAGTACTTTTACATTTGAAGTACATTTTGCTGAAAATGCTAACAAACTTTTAAAGGCTTTTCACTTCTAGTGGAGAGCTTTCGCAGGGTATTAGTATTTTACTTATGTAAACGATGTAAATGAAAAAAAAAGGTCATCCAATTGTTTATTCAATCTATTGTAGACTACACAGCTATGTACAAGAAATATGTATGATTTGGGGAAAAAATCTATTATGGAGAAAAAAATGCATGGTCTCACCACTTAATCCTATTATTAATCCTGTGTGTTCATCCTACAGATAGAGAATGATCCCCAGGAGTTTGCTCTTTACTGTATTCACCAGAGTGGAGGTATGCTTTGCTGTTATACTAGTTACACATTGAAGTTATTAGACAGTTATTAGACAATGTAGGACAGTTCAATTCTTCACTGACGTTGTGTGTGTGTGTGTGTGTGTGTGTGTGTGTGTGTGTGTGTGTGTGTGTGTGTGTGTGTGTGTGTGTGTGTGTGTGTGTTGTTCAGAAAAGAGAAAGCTCAACAACAGAGACCAGCCCCTATGGGAGCGCATACTACAGGGACCCTCTGACGACATCATGAGGATCTTTTTGATGGATATGGACGAAGAGGAAGTCAGCAATGATGTGAGTGTTGTAGCTCCGCCTCTAGAGGAATAAGTTAACAAGTTAAAAAAAAAACCACTTAGTGATATTTAGGGAAAATATGAACGTAGTAAAATAGACTGCATGCATGTATTCTTCGAATAGAATATCAATGATAGATCAATATGATCAATAACAGTTTTGTGTTTAAGTGGGAATCACTTCTGAGTATCTGGTCAATAATGACAGGGTACAATAGTAATATTTCTCAGTAACAATGGCAGGAATAACAGGATAGCAGTCTTGATATTGAAATGGAATAATTTGTATTATCATTTATTTTAGAGTTAAGATATATTCTCAAAAAAGTGCTTTGGGAAATTGCAGTGTAAACTTTTACACTAGAGTATTTATTAATATAGTTTGTTTCTAATGATTCTTTTTTACATTATTGTTGTTGCTGGGGAATGACAGAATATAAGCCTCATAGCCTGAGAAGAAGGGTTTGCCTTTATAGCTTTAGTTTTATAGCTTATGTTTATGCTCTTAAATACTAGGCTGTTAAATAATGTTCCATTGTTTTCCCCCTTTTCACTGTAATTGCAGTGTAGTTACAGGGCATGTTAAAGTTTATTTTTGTGTTTTTTGTGTGAGTAAGAGCCACATGTAGGTGAAGTCCTTTTTATGACATAGCTGTGCTGAGAGGACATATAGGATACGCCTGCTGGTGCCCTGTTTGTAATTATTCAGAATGGGTATTTTAGTTCTAGGTCTTCATGAATCTAAATTTGTCGCCCCCTTGTTTCCCACACTTCTTCATGTATAGCCTACCTATAGCTACCCTGTCAGTATTTCCTTACCCTGTATGTACCAAATATTTACACAATGACTTGTGGGCTATAATCTCAGCGTCAGTGAAGAGACTTACACATGCACAAATCTTTTTCAGATGGAGATTTAAATAAAAAAAAAACATATTTACATTTCTTTTATCATGCAAATACCAATGTCCTTCTGGCTCTGGATAAATATAATTATATGTTTATTATTTATGCAGATTTGCAGTCCATAAGACACAATTCAGTGTGAAAGCATAGATGCTAGTGTCCTGTTTGCAATTTTAGTCAAGTTTCTTCTGTTTCTTGTTTGCTAAGACTCTTTTCCACAATCTTAATACTTACCCTAGATTCAATTGATATTCTGTTGCTCCCTCCTCTCCTTTCCTCTCCTCTCCTCTCCTCTCCTGTTCCTTATTTTCTTCTCTTCTCAGGTAGCCCAGTATTTGAACTTGGAGCTTCCTATCCTGGAGCAGGTTCTACTGAAACTCAGAGAGGAGGAGAACAGAGAGATACAGAGGGTCATTGGCAAGTCAGTATAAGTGATCTTTTTGTATTTTTTTGTGTGTGAATAAGTGTTTCAATTTTTTTTTCACTTTTATTTATTTGCTTATTTGCTGCTTATTCATAGTATCTGTATATGTGTATGTTTGTGTGTGTGTGTGTGTGTGTGTGTGTGTGTGTGTGTGTGTGTGTGTGTGTGTGTGTGTGTGTGTGTGTCAGGTACCAACAGCAGCACAGACTCCTATCCCATATGCTGAACTGTAAGACGTCACATCACATTGAGACCAGCGTTTGATGACTGCTGATCTAAGTCACTGACCAATCATTCATCGCAGTACCACCATAAGGATGAACGAGTAACTGTGGATGAAACACTGTACATTTTTTTACAAGGTCTTTAACTTTATAAACAAGGTTAAAGTTGCAAAAAAAAAGTTGCTTAATTTTTTAAACTGTAAAATACGTACAAAATAAATGTGTAAGCTGATGTAAATAACTGTAAATCAGTGTTGTGTGTTCATAAATAAATAAAAGTTGTGGGACCATTATGAACTCTCATGTGTTGTGTGATGAATTAGTTAATCACTGAATTAATCTATACACATACACAAATGAACAAATTGATTAATACAATTTTAATGTAAATAACTTAACAGACTAACAACATGGATACTATCCTTCTAGTTCTCTGGTACCACGAAAAGGAATAAGTTTCCCTTTTGCACAAAGATAGATAAATATATAAATAATCAAAGAAAGAACGAAATGACACAATTGGTACAATTTTGAATAGAAAGAATATGGTTTATGATTCATGTTTCCTGTTTGAGTAGAGTGATTTTATCTCTAGGGTATTTATTGTATTGGTTTGTAGTACTCTGGACTCACACATCTTTACTGAAGGATCATAATGGAAATAAGCCCTGAACTTAACTGAGTCATCCTTGCCATCTGGAAATGTGTTTGATTTGTCAGAGGACAAAACCTCTTATTCCCTCCCTCCAGCCTCAGACATTCTCATTTTCCCCACACTCCTGCATTTTTATGGACCTTTCCAAACCTGCCTTTCCTTCTCTGTCTAGCAGCTGTCCCCAGTGTGTTCTCACCTTCACCACACCGATCTGCTCACCTACCCCTCATTACGTTATTAGTCTCTTATATAATAAGAATGTGATATTTCCAATCTAAAGCTACCTTAGGGGAAATAAAGGTGGTAAACTGGATGTTAAAAGATGTGTGTGTGTGTGTGTGTGTGTGTGTGTGTGTGTGTGTGTGTGTGTGTGTGTGTGTGTGTGTTTGTGACAGGAGACTACTGTGGAAAACACTGTCATAGCAGTTAAATAATGGTGTAGTGTAGAGTGAGCAATGCTGGGCTGTTCAGTGGCAAAGGCTTTATAAATGCTTGCCAGCCCACCAGACAGCCTCATATTACCCTGCAGTGTAATTTTACTCTGACATGATGACTGACCAAAATGAGAATAAATTGTAACTAGTTGTTTTATTGAAGGAGAGAGTTTCCATATGATGACTGCCAAGGAGCCCAATGGTATCCCTTTTTAGAAATGGAAAGAGAGTGTGGCATGGCATGACTTTGTAGCTGTGGCAGAGATCCACAGACATTGGTTTAGTGATCCCCATCTTAAAATCTTAATCTTAAAACTTATAGAAAGGCCCTCCGTAATGCCAGAGGAGCCTATTACTCAGCACTAATAGAAGAAAATAAGAATAACCCTAGGTTCCTCTTCAGCACTGTAGCCAGGCTGACAGAGAGTCACAACTCTATTGAGCCACATATCCCCATAAACTTAAGTAGCAATGACTTAATGAACTTCTTTTATAATAAAATTATTACTATTAGAGAGAAAATGAATCACCAACTGCCATCAACAGTTATCAGTGGCTCTCCAAGTTCAGGGACTTTTACTAATGTAAACTCAGATATATATTTAGACTGTTTTTCTGCCATCGATCTTCATCAGTTAACTTCAATAATTTCTTCATCGAAGCCATCAACCTGTCTATTAGACCCGATCCCAACTAGGCTGCTTAAAGAAGTTGTTCCCTTAATTGGCACTTCTTTACTGGATATGATTAATCTTTCTTTATTATCAGGATATGTACCACAGTCCTTTAAAGTAGCTGTAATTAAACCCCTTCTTAAAAAGCCCACTCTTGACGCAGGGGTTTTAGCCAACTATAGACTGATCTCTAACCTCCCCTTCCTCTCTAAGATTCTGGAGAAAGTAGTCGCCAAAGAGTTGTGTGACTTTCTACATAACAATAGTTTATTTGAGGATTTTCAGTGAGGATTTAGAGTTCATCATAGCACAGAGACAGCTCTGGTTAAAGTTAATAATGACCTTTTGATTGCTTCAGACAATGGACTTGTCTCTGTACTTGTATTATTAGATCTTAGTGCTGCATTTGACACCATTGACCATAATATTCTTTTACAGAGACTTGAGCATCAAATTGGCATTAAATAAACCGCACTAAGCTGGTTTAAGTCATATTTATCAGATTGTTCGCAGTTTGTACATGTTAACGACGAATCTTCAATAAATACTACAGTTAGTCATGGAGTTCCACAAGGTTCTGTACTTGGACCAATACTATTTACTTTATATATGCTCCCTTTAGGCAACATTATTAGGAATCACTCCATTAACTTTCACTGTTATGCAGATGATACGCAGTTATATCTATCAATCAAGCCCGATGAAATTAATCAATTATCTAAATTACAAACATGTCTTAAGGACATAAAATCCTGGATAAGCTGCAATTTTCTGATGTTAAACTCAGAAAAAAACAAAATTCTTGTTCTTGGCCCTAAAAACCTTAGAGACTCACTGTCTAAAGATGTAGTTACTCTAGACGGCATTACCTTGGCCTCTAGCACCACTGTCAGAAATCTTGGAGTTATCTTTGATCAGGATTTGTCTTTTAACTCCCACATAAAGCAGACCTCCAGGACTGCCTTCTTTCATTTACGTAATATTACAAAGATTAGACACATCCCATCACAGACAGATGCAGAAAAACGAATCCATGCATTTGTTACTTCAAGGCTGGATTACTGCAACTCTTTATTATCCAAGTCCATTAAAACGCTCCAATTAATTCAGAATGCTGCAGCACGAGTACTGACAGGAACTAGGAAAAGAGATCACATATCTCCTGTACTAGCTTCTCTGCACTGGCTCCCTGTAAAATGTAGAATAGAATTTAAAATCCTCCTCCTCACCTATAAAGCTCTTCATGGTCAGGCCCCTTCATATCTTAAAGAGCTCATAGTACCCTATTACCCCTCTAGAACACTATGTTCTCTGAATGCTGGGCTACTTGTGGTTACTATAGTCTCTAAAAGTAGAACAGGAGCCAGAGCCTTCAGTTACCAAGCTCCTCTCCTGTGGAACCAGCTTCCAGCTGTGGTTCGGGAGGCAGACACCCTCTCCACATTCAAGAGTAGGCTTAAGACATTCCTCTTTGATAAAGCTTATAGTTAGGGCTGGATCAGGTGAGTCCTGAACCATCCCTTAGTTATGCTGCTATAGGCCTAGACTATCGGGGGATTTCCCATGGTGCACTGAGCTCCTCTCTTCCTCTCTCTTTCTGCACTCTTTCATGTCCCATTAATGCATGTTACTAACTTCACTTCTTCCCCGGAGTTCTTGTGCTTTCTTGTCTCGCAGGTTCTTATCGATCCTGGTGGAGCCTCCTGCCATGGTCCTGCTAGATTGCCATTGCCAATACTGTTGTTGCTGTGCATCTGTCTGTCTGTCTGTCTGTCTGTCTCTCTCTCTCTCTCTCTCTCTCTCTCTCTCTCTCTGTCTCTCTTACCCCAACTGGTCGAGACAGACGACCACCCACCTAGAGCAGAAGGATCTGTCCTAGGTTTCTGCCTTTTAACAGGCAGTTTTTCCTTGCCCTTGTCGCCAAGTGCTTGCTCATGGTGGTACTGTTGGGTCTCTGTAAATAATGTTATAAAGAGTTCGGTCTAGACCTACTCTATTTGAAAAGTGTCCTGAGATAACTTCTGTTATGAATTGGCGCTATACAAATAAAACTGAATTGAATTGCATTGAATTAAAAGACAATTCTGTCTCTTTGCTTGCACATTAATTTTCCCTTTTACTGAAATACTTCAGATATCTCTGTACATTAGATCTCTTTTTGTCAAGTGGGCTTTAAAACTGAGAAAGGAGAATAAATTTTTTTCTGATATGAAAATGTTTTCTTTCCTAATTAACTTGTTAAGATGTGTATTTTGTATGTTCAGTGTAATAAAGGTAATTATTATGGGTAATTTAGAACCTTGGGAAACTGGTACTTTCTCTATACACTGAAAAAAGTTTATAACTTCCAACTTTTGCTTAATTCCCATCAGACAGGAGCTGTGAAAAGCTACATTTTCAATTAAATGACATTTTAAAGCTTTGGGTGTAGTCAGATGCGTGTAGATGAGTGCATTGTGATGTTTTTTGCTTTGTGGGTTCACAGTGGATTAGTTCTTCTTTTTAACTGGGTCAACATGTCAATCAAATGACTTTAGTAAAGAAGAGCAGCTTGTTCTTATAAGTACAATGCATTATCACTGCTCTCTGACAAAGAAATCCATCATATACACATGCTGTATGTATAATTGTATGTTTTCATTTCAGGCCTAGAGCTTTTTATCGTTAATTTGCTAAGTTTTCTCTGACAGCCACCTAAAAAGGTTCAGGGAGTTTCCCATAGGTGGTTATCCTTTCTTTAAAACCATTGTTTACGGGTCAGTGTATTGCCCTTACAGTAAGTCTGTTTACAATTCCATGTATAAAAGCGTTTCCACCCATAGAGTTTTCGATTTCACGTGAGGAAGATGGACCTGAGTCTTTTCTCTGCTGCCCTGGCCCTGGTGCTGGGCCTTTAAGCTCAAAATAATACCCTGGTAAGACATATGCCATGACAATTACATCACTCTATAACTGGTTTACTGGTTTAATTTTTTTAAATGATTGAATTGTATTATTTAAAAGAAAGGCAATAACAAGTGATACAATCTTGAGAAATTGCAGCCTGCTCCAAGCATACAGAGTTGTGAACTCAAGAAAAACAATGATCTCAACTCATTCTCAACTATTTTAAGAAAAACGTCCTAAATGGCCATGTATGGCTTTATGAGCCTGTAGACCCACTTCATTGATTCTAACAACAACAAGTGACTGACAATATGACATCTCTAAAAATATACTTATAGCAAGGTGTGTTATTTAAATGAACACACATCCATTTTAAAATGATATGTTGGCAGGAACGGGAAAAAGACATAAGATATTGGCAAACAAATCTCACAATGAGCAAATGATAAAAGTAACATGATTAATGATATGTGATATTGGGCTATTTAAAAGAACTGACATAATACAACAAATATATGAGGGGATACAAAGAATATATACCAGGGCATTAAATAAACATATAAAAGTAAAAAAATTAACTTGCGTTAATATTTACTGATTATGTCCTTATGTAACCTACTTTGTTTCTCTGTAGGTGCATGGGA